ATTTATTATGTCAAGCATATATTTTCATTTTTAGGCAGCTAAGAAGAACCAGCAGCAGCGCATGTTCAGAAACACTGAAATAACAAGTATTTAACAGATAAGCCAAAACATGGCTTTGGCTATCAGGGGAGCACCTGATGACAGGGTGGCTGCGACGTTTCTGCCATGTTTACCTCACACACCCTCTGTGGTTTTTTACGTTACTGCCTCCCCAGGCTCTCCCGGAAGGAGATTTTTATCATTGAGAGGAACTTTCAATACAGGCTGAGCTGAGCCCCACTTCCCATGGTGCTGTAAGTGTCCAAAGAGCTTGGAGCCTGGAAGGATGTCACAAATCAGACGTTTTACTAGCCAACTCCTGAGCCTCATATTAAAAAGTACCCATCAGAATTCAAAGGACACTGGGCCAGATCCCCTTGGATCTCTCTCTGATGACTCAGAAATACTATGATTAGACAAATGGAGACACAATAGAGCTCTAACAGAACACAACGTAACATAGCCATATAAGGTTGTTTCTCTTTTGCACGAATAAGGCTATTATTTGCTCGATCAGCAAGTCTGAATCCAAAAGTCAGCTTTACTAGAGGGTTCATATTTACAGCCAGGCTTTGAAGTTAATCCAAAAAAGTCTGTGATTCTTCTTGGCCTTTGCACAATGTCTGTTTCTATCTTTGTGGGCTGGTTGGGAAATTTGGGCTGCTTTATTTACTCAAATGTGTCTAATCATTGCATGTCATTTAACTGTTATTTGTTATGGGAGTTTGGGTTTTAAGGTGACAGATTACAACTGTCAAGAGGAAAAGGGGTCAGCTGTTGTCAGTTAAACTAAGTGGAAGAGGAAGGAGTCACTCAATACATGACTGATCTTTTGTGGCAACAAAATATACAGGCTGATCCACATAACTTCAATGAGAAACATGAATTATTTCATCGTAGCGTTAATCAATCACGTTCAAATCCTACTCAGGTTTGCATAAGCATATCTATAAGAAGAAAATACATAATGACAGTGTATTCTCAGCTTTAATAAGCACAAACAATTTCTTCTGCAGATGATCATATCTTCATTTAGATTATAACACATTCAGGAATGTTCTATGTCATCATTACTCTGCTTTCTTTGGCATATGAAAATTTTGTACATTAATTGCATGTGTAAAAGAGTTTGGGAAGTTGCTGTAGAAACAGCAAGTTTTCTTCTAAGTGTCTTTACAAAACCATGACTGTGATGGGATCTGGCTGCCTCTTTTGAGGTGGGAGGAAGGCAGCTAGATGCCATCACACTATTTGCTCGCTCACTCGTCTCAATATCTAAGTTTGCATGTGAAGCTGGGGTCATTTATTCTGGCAGCTTCTTACGTTGCTGTAGAAACAGCAAGTTTTCTTCTAAGTGTCTTTACAAAACCATGACTGTGATGGGATCTGGCTGCCTCTTTTGAGGTGGGAGGAAGGCAGCTAGATGCCATCACACTATTTGCTCGCTCACTCGTCTCAATATCTAAGTTTGCATGTGAAGCAGAGGTCATTTATTCTGGCAGCTTCCTATATATAAATGGGAGGATGCAGCAGTTCTCTGGGGACTACCTTTTTTCACTTAGGAAGAAATCCTGTTGCTTTAACTTGAGTTTTCTGAGCCTTCACAAGGCTTGCAAGTTACTGTTCAAAGGAAACAGAAGTGATTCCTAAAGATATAGATAAAAGGTAAAATCACAACCCACAACCTGAGTTGTTTGATAGCAAGGCTATGCAAGGACAATGGAGTAAGGAAAACATGTACTTGTAGGAGTGTTTGCCATGAGGTCTCTTCACTGAGGGAGTCTACAGGATGGCCCACCCTTGCCCCTGCCCACAGGTTGGTAGTGAAGTTCCACCTCTGCCTTGTGGTCCCTGAGTGAAGAGAGGTGCAGGCACAGCAAGCAGGATTTATTAGGGAGCAAGGAGAAGCTAAAAATGCAGCACTGGCATTGCCTGGTGTGTTTGCACACATCTGTGTCCCATGGCAGAGCTTTGGCCCTTTCCACCACCCACAGAAGAAGGTGGGCAGAGAAGGCGCTTCGAATCAGATGGATAAATCATACTCTGAAGACACCTCTCTCTCTTAGAGGTTACAGAGTTAGGCAACTAGTTTTGGCACCTAACTTTCAGAGAACTAAAATTAGTTGAGTGCCACAGCGCTGGCATTAAACATGCCACTGAATTTCATGCAGTTATCCTTGTTCTGAACCTAAGTCAGGCTAACTAAGCTTATATTCTAGAAATAGATTCTCCCTTTATTAAGAGTCACTAAGAAAGGGAGATTTCCTATCTTCTGTAGCTAGTTTGTTCTGTTACACATCTTCTATCACAACCAAAAACTCAGAGAAACACTCTCTGTTTCTCATTAAAATTGTTTAGCTTTAATCTCTTGCAGTTATTTCTTGTGACATACTAAACTGGACTTACAAAAACTTTTACGAGGCTATTTCCCACTGAAATAACTGTAAATAGTCTAGAAAATTGGCATCTAAGGATCTGTGCAAGGGCTTTCATTTATGTGTTTGTTTTTTCACAAGACCTTGGTTTTGTCCCTTACAGAGTTAATTATATTTCACCAGCAGAATGATGAACAGAAATACTTGATTGGATCTGGGATATGTCGGGCCCAGTTCCCAGTAAGGTAGCTAGCTAAGGGAGCAAAGCTTTGCCTTTTGCTTTGTGAAGAACCTGGGGAAGTTTCCCTGTGATACTGCTTGCACACTGCAGTGGTCAAAAATTATCACAGATTTATCCAGCCAAGGATAATATCTCTGCCTCTCTGCCCGTCTCTGTGTGTTAGGAACAGTGAACCAGTGTGGTAAAGTTCCTCCCTGAACTGAACAGGGACCAGAACGTCAAACAGTCTCTTACCAGAATTAGAAAACATTGGAATAAAATTCCCCCAATATTTTCCAACATATATCTGTTGCTTTCTGTGAGTGCAGAGGTGCTTACATACTGGTATTTTCTGTGCAAAATTTTGTAAGACCTTTGCAAAAGCTTATACAGAAGATGTCTGCAAGTATCCCTATCTATGTTTGCAAGTATCTAAAGGGTGGGTTGAGGGAGGATGGACCCGGACTCTTTTCAGTGGTTCCCAGTGACAGGACGAGGGGCAACGGGCACAAGCTGGACCATGGGAAGTTCCACTCCAATCTGAGGAAGAACTTGTTTGGGGTGAGGGTGGCAGAGCCCTGGGACAGGCTGCCCAGGGAGGGTGTGGAGGCCCCTTCTCTGGAGATCTTCAAGCCCCGCCTGGATGCTCCTGAGTGATGTGCTCTGGGCAGCCCTGCTTTGGCAGGGGAGTTGGGCTGGATGGGCTCTAGAGGTCCCTTCCAACTGCAACAGTTCCATGATTCTGTGATTCCATGTCCAGCCCAGTTACCCATATTTGGAAGGACAGAGAGAAATCCAGGCTTTTGGGCTTAACTTTGAACTAGAGCCTGCCCTTTTTTCCCACTAGCAGATGACTCGCTGAGTAAACCTAAGTTAAGTACATCCAGTCTAGCTGTATTTGCTAAATATGCCTCCTCTTAAAAGCACTGTATTTGTGTTAAGGGAACTGAAGAAAGGATATGGAAGTTTCTTGGGACTGACTGTTAAGAGAAAGAAAATGTACTTACAAATCAGGAATTAATTCACCTAGTATCTGAAAGAATGTCCTTTGTTACTGAGCTAGACAAAAACCACTTTCTCTCATGCAAGGCCTGATAGTTCTACACTCTCTTCAGTCGTAATGGTGCTAATAGCTGTTGCAGAAGAAACAGAACCATAACTCCTGACAGATAGGTAGAAAAATCTTTCAACTCATCCTAAGTCATAGCCCTGTTACACCAAGAGAGACCCGTGATCCCCAGAGCACGCACCCATTGTGGATTTGGAGCCATAATGGTTAGCTATTGAGCTGGCATTCAACTTTCTATAAATACTGTCTCATCTGCTCTCTTTTTTCTCCAGGAAAGCAAGTTAAGTGAGGGAGAATTTCTTTTATCTACTTTCCCATTTGAGGAAAGGGAGAAATCAACTCTAAAGGTGCGAGGAGCTTAATTTAAAGCTCCTGTTGTAAACTGGAGATCCTCAAGATCTTCTTGCTACGGTCAGAGGTACCGTGGGGATTAATCATTCTTTGTCTACAGCTTTGGGAAACACGGGAAGGTTCCTGCATTCCAGGTAGAATTCTGAATTCCTTGAAGAAGGAAGGTGATAATCAATCAATTTGATCAAGATAGGATCTGCAGTTATTTCCTGGCAACAGCAAACTGAATTATAAATTTGTTAATGTACTGTCCAGTGTTAAAGCTATGACAGTGGCCACACAGTACTGCAGAGACATGGCCAGCTGTGAGGTAACAGCTCACAGTGCAATCCCTCTGCCTCACGCAGTGGGAATACAATCCTGAGAGCAGATCAAGTTGGAAATGCAAGAATTTGCAAAGAGAAGTTCATTTTTCCCATGGTCTGCACTGTCCCTTTTTAGTGATAAGACACAGATTGTCACTATATAAATGTTGTATGTTATATGAGCTTTGTACATATTACTCTTCCCTAGATTAACAGACTATGAATAACAATGAACTTTCAACCTGGACACAGTGTACACCACATACTGTTTGGCTCCAAGAAAAACCTTTCATCAGGAAAGACATGATGAACGCAGAGCACACCACGGAGACCTAAGAGATTATTGATTAGGGCCAGTTCATGAAAGCAGAACCAAACCCAGGAAAGGTATTTAAAAGTAATCTTGGAATTTTCAGGTAAGATTCAGGACATGAATTTGAGAGGGCGTTATGGTGAGCAAAAGGTAGGTAGCATGTATGCAACCTGAACATGAAGCAATGAGATGTTATCTTCAAAGAAAGTAATAACAAAAAGGATTTGCATTTGTCCCATTTATTTTCTTCATTTGTATTCTTAAATATCTGATCAAACAAAAGATGCAGGGGTCTTTGTGTATAGAAAGAGATTTCTGTGTGCATTACCTCCAGGAATGTTTGGGCCCATAGCCGGGACCTGATTTTTAGCGCTGCACTCTTCCCTCTTTCCAGCTGTCCCACAGTGCAGGAAATCAGGATACACTTCACATTTGTACAGTTCTGTGTACAACATAAAGGGTAAGTCATACCTCTGCTTTAAAAATGTACATAATCATTTTGAAATGCTATAAAACAGCAAAACAAATCAACTTTCCCTTAAAGAGTTAAGTAATCTGAAATCAGTAATTTCATCTAATATACAAGAGATACCCCATGAGGCATTATGAGAATTATAAACCAAGGGGGAGATTGTTTTTGGACCACCAATGAATACAACCACTTACCTGTAGTAATGAAAATAAAAGTAATAATTTTCAACACTATCAATTCTGAAGAACTCTAAATGTCCAGGTACCTATCAATCCTTTGAAGCATGTGCTTTGTCTTCATCTATCAGCACTTTGTGATTTCATCACTTATTTTTTCCCTGTTCTTTATGCCTAAAAAGTCTTTATTTGTCTTTAAATCTTTCTCCTCTTCTAACTCTCCTGGTTTTCTTACTGATGTTTACATTATAGCAGCCAGAACATTTGCTGAGATTCACTCTACTTGAAACTTGTTGTCCATGAAACGTTCCTGATGAGCAGTGATTCTGGCTCATACACAGGGTTGAAGACAAAAGCCAAACAATGCGACTCTGAACTATATACTGTGTTATATAGTTTATACATAAAGTCTGCCAGAGGAAGGCTGACTAGAGCCACTGAAGGGAATGAGCAGAGTCTCATGGGGTGACCACAGAAATTATACAGTTGTTTGGGGCGTAGAAAGGAAGAAAGATCTCATAGAAAAATTATTAGAAGTGTGTGTAAAAATATGTATATTTTTATATGTACAAATGGGGTTTTCCTGAAAAGTTTTGGTTTGATTCATGAGGAAGGCTAAAGTTTTAATTGATCCATATTTTTAGAAAAAAGCAAAGAATCCTTCCCTTACAGATTCTTTATTGTCACTCATGACAGAAGGGCTCGTGACCTCAAAAGCAAAGCTACGTTCTCACAAGTTCTCCCTTCACAGAATCACAGAATCTTCTAGGTTGGAAGGGACCTTAAAGATCATCTTGTCCAACCATCAACCTCACTGACAAAAATAGACACCCACACAACAAACAAGGAGCATCATCACTAAACCATACCTCCCAGCACTACATCAACCCGTCTTTTGAACACCTCCAGAGATGGTGCCTCAACCCCCTCCCTGGGCAGCCCATTCCAATGCCTGAGAACCCTTTCAGTGAAAAAATTTTTCCTAATATCCAGCCTGAACCTCCCCTGGTGTAACTTGGGAGAGTGAGGCTGGCGGCACCACCAGCGCCCACGCTTCAGAGCATGAGATGATGATGTACCTCACACAAATGAGAACACGCTTAAGGAACCCTGTGTCTCTATAGGCAGCTTTCCCCACAAATCCTTATCGGATCACAAGTTAAGTAGAAGCTGTTTGCTTAATCACTGTTTTCTAAATCAGTCTGAAAATGAAACTGTAAACCCTGGAACTTGCAACTACAAACTTTTTTTTTTTTTTAAATGAGTATTTGGCTTTTCATATTTAAACATCCTCCAAACAGATTTATTTATATTACAGGAAAGAGGAGAGCCGTTTTCATTAATCATAGTGGCCAAAAACACATATTAACTAAATAAATCATTAGTATGCAAAAAAGTCTACTTTTGGCTGACATTTTAAAACCTAAACATATATTTCTATTTTTCTTAGTAACGCATTTAGCCTGTAGTGATTTTCAAAACACTGTAACATTAGAACTAATGGAAGAGAAAACAAACATTTAATAAACAGCATAAACAGAGTAAGAGGTTCTCAGAACATTTTTCTCTCCATGAAAAGGCTTTGATGAAAATGAAAATAACTTTAATTTTCTGTCAGAAAAATTTACAAATTTTAAAGAATTACCTTTGGCCAATCAGTTATTTTCCAGAGCAACATTCACTTTCCACGTATACTTCCAATGTGTCAAAAAAAAAAATATTAATTTTTCTGGATCTGCAGCACGCAATGCTGGAGGCACATAGAATTGGGACTAACTGAAAAAAATGACATCTTGCTTTTCTATGCCCATCCTGGAAAAGACCTGCTATGTATCCAATGGTAAGTACTGTACCCATTCCTATCCTATATTTGTGCTTATCAAAAGCATATTGTACTAGGAGACTGCTCGACACAGCGCCAATTTTCTGCTACTAAGTACTCAGCTAAATACTGCTGCATCAGCAGCTGAAAAATCTCTGCTTTGCATTTGAAGATGCAGACACAGTACATAACTTAAGAACTTTGTTAAGCACTTTCAGTTGCTGCAGAGATTTTTAGGTTGGCAGCATACGCACCTAATCACAGAGAAAGGTAACTGAGCATTAAGGTATTACTGAAGAATGAATTGTGTTCTGTGATACTGAGTGCTGTGTCTTTGAAAGCCCAGGCATTCTTCTTTCAGCCTCAGTGGAATCAGATTCTGCCCAGGGCATTAGGCTGATGATAGAATTATATCAGAATCAACAGCAATTACTGTTTAAAATGGGTTCATCTGTGATTTTGTTCTTAATAAAATTATGATATTCATTACTTTCAGATTCTATCTCCTTCCTGTTACAAAAATTGCCAAATTAACTTTCAGAAGCAGCATAATTATTCTATTACTCCAGAATACTTAGGTCTGTGAGGTTCTTTTCTTCCTACCAAATTCTAGTGATGTCAAAGAATTCAAATACAATCTTGCAGGAAACAGCTTAATAAGAGACTGGACAGCATGAAAGAAACTCTGCCCAAGGTTCATAAAAATAGATGGAAAGCACTGACTGCATGAATCCCTCAGCTGACCTCAAGGTCACCGGGTCTGAACACAGTATCTCCTTCCTGTTACAAAAATTGCCAAATTAACTTTCAGAAGCAGCATAATTATTCTATTACTCCAGAATACTTAGGTCTGTGAGGTTCTTTTCTTCCTACCAAATTCTAGTGATGTCAAAGAATTCAAATACAATCTTGCAGGAAACAGCTTAATAAGAGACTGGACAGCATGAAAGAAACTCTGCCCAAGGTTCATAAAAATAGATGGAAAGCACTGACTGCATGAATCCCACAACTGACCTCAAGGTCACCGGGTTTGAACACAGCCTCTGGGCAAGGGGAGCCGACACCTACAACGCTGAATGATGCTAAAGATGGGACACTGAATGCAGGAATGGAAAAAAACCCAACCTTCTGAAAATACACCCAAGCCAAAATACTCAGGTACCAGATTGACAAAATGGAGCTATTTTCCTGGGAGAGAGATCTTTGCTCTTGCTCCAGCACTGTCTGGAATGTCACAAATGCAGTGACCCGTCCCACTTGCCTTCCTTGTGCTACTGGAAGGGGAAAGAGTCTTACTTTTCCATGTGTCTGTAAGTCCTTACTGGGGGGAACAAATATACTCCAAAGTATTTCTATGTCAGAACCGTTACTTTACATGAAAATGCTAATTTTAAGTGTGAGCTACTCTTTAAGAAAAAGCCAGAATGCTAGGACTCAAGTTAGCAAGAAAAGACCAACCTTTCCAAAGTCAGAAACTGAAATTTAACGCGCGGAAGAGGGGCCCATTCTCTAAATCCCTGATGAAATTCCCTGCAATAAGTGTGCCCTTGCATTACCACAGAGGTTACCCTGCAGACAGCCAGGACTAAGAAAGCCAGGAATTTGGAGTGCATGATCTTTAGTGTAAAAATCTGTCAAACAAAATTGCTAACCTGTGGCATGGTGATATGTAATAAAAATATTTTAAACTGAGAGGTTAAAAATCACTTAGAAAAATATTTAAAGATCTGTAAATAAATTTCAGTCAAACCAACAGCCTTGGTATAGTCAAAGGTCAAGTCAAACCAAACCTTGATATGCTGCTTGCATAGTGCCATCTTACAGTTTTTAGACAGCTTACCAGTATTTTTGCAGAGTTCTTCCTGTGAAGTTCTGCCACTGTGACATCCCTTCTCCTGATGTAATGAGAAATTGTTGAGTTATACAAAAAAGCCGCAAGTTCAGGAGTGTCTTGTGGAATTGCAAACTGCAAGGAGAAAAAATGTGAATGGTAATGACATACTTGTACAATGATTCCAACAGATTTACAGATTTGTTCCCTTCTCAGAGGTATTGAATTTTGAATTAATGCTGCTTTTTCAATTTAACAGCACTGCCATGAGAATATACTGTCTTCAACTAGGAGCAGGATGAGTAACAGCACAGCAAGATATTGCCCAGTTATAGGAATTACAGTAGGTAAGATTTTTTTTCCACTTTTTAGTGGTGTCAACTTCATTGCTTTATTTAATTTTGTTAGACTCTTGGGGCCAGATTCTGATCTCTATAACAGTATAAATTCGAAGTTGCTGCATGGGAATCTCGTCATTAGTTTAGATCAGAATCTGCCAATCGAAATATAATGATTTTACCAGCTTTAGAAAGTAAAAAAAAAATAAAAATTCTAGCAACACAACCTTTGATCATTATTTGTTACAGATTTTTTTGGGAACAATTCAACTTTGCATAATGCAATAGCTTGTTAACTTTAAATGTCATATTAAAATGCCTTCTCTTCAGCTTTATCTTCATAGATTTTTATTCTCTGATTAAAACCTGTTTTTGTTGTTGGCAGTTTTTCTTTAATTTCAAAGCAGAGCATTTACGGCGTCTTTCAGGAAGCCTCAGGGAATGTCTGGGAACTCAATTGCTATGGAGGAAAGGATAAATTCTAATTCATGACAATCTAATCATGAAAAATCACAATAAAATCTATGTGGAAGTTTGTAGTAAGATCTCAATGCAAACACACCTAAACATAGACAAGACTATTCTTTAAGGGCCTCAAATTATAAAGAGCTATATCAGATCCATCTTATCACTTCCTTTAACCTCCGAACACAAAATATCCTAAAGAAAATGTTTGCAATTGTAAGAAATGTAGCACAAAATAGAAAAGATATAGCTATAAACACAGACAACCTTCCTCACTCTAATGCTGTGTAGAACCAGATTTGGAAAATTTGTACCATTCATCTGATTAAAATTATGAGGCTAAATAAGCAACTGCTTTATATTGTTTGAGTTCTTCAGTCAAAAGCATCAACAAAGTGAAAGATACTGTAATTTATTAACTGATGAAGACCTTTTAAGCAAAAATAAGAATTTTTTTTCTGTTGCTTAATTAAGTTATCAATGTCTTTTTGCAATAAGGGAACAGTTAAATAGCTAGTAAATCTCTCCCTCTCAGTGTGATAACATGTGGGAATTGTCTTTCCAGGATTCTTTCACCAGCACATCCAGCCTTCTTTCATGAAGACAAATTAAAAGAACCACAGTATAATAACATGCCTTTGAAGAAGCCCTCAATATATGATGAGAATTAGTATATATGTAGATCCATTTGAATATGACAAGATTTTTGTATTTACTTACTTTTTTCCTAGATCCTATAGATCTTCACTAGTGAATTATTACAGCAAAGGTTGGAAAACAGCACTCTGTGCTTAAGAGAAAACATACATGTCTCCTGCAACAATTTAAAAGCAGAATTTCTCTAGTGGCCTAGATGCTCAGGTTAAAGATATCATTTTATCCTTCGTGAGCCGGTAGCATGGAATTATACAATGCTGTAGCTATTTTATACACCACATAGTTTCTTTTAAATGGACTTTTGCTCCCTCCCTTTAACTACAGTGGAAGTTTCCCCATCAGGGGAAACTGTACTGCTTTCTTCTCCTGAACTTTGCCACCTTGAGCAGATTTCCAGATCTTTACTTCTCATTTCAAAACCAGTTGAGCTTTCCTCTTTTTCTAGTCAGGCAATACGCTCTGTTGCAAACCATAACTCCATCAGAAATGTTCTAGAAGAGGACTTTGGGTAAAAGCTGTTGTACAAGAGGTGCCAGTGACCATTCAAGAGCAATGCACTGGACAGTATTATTTTGTCTCCAGAACAGGACTTACACACAGTAGTAACAGCTCTGTGTAGAATTATAGAATCGTAGAATCATTCAGGTTGGAAAAGACCCTTGGGATCATCGAGTCCAACCATCAACCCCACTCTACAAAGTTCTCCCCTGCACCATATCCCCCAACACCACATCTAAAGGACTCTTAAACACATTGAGGGATGGGGACTCAGCCACCTGCAGCATGAGGAGACCCTGCCTCTGGAAGAGGTTAGCTCCTGCCAGTCACGTTAGTGGATGTACCTTACCCATGTGGTGGATTTTAGCTGCTTCCCTGACAGTTGCCTCACTCATGGTATGACAGCACTCAGCTACTGAGAATGTGTCCTGTATCATCTACCATAGTTGGAAAACACTGCCTATACCTCTGCTATTTACAGGCACAGGCTCCAGAAAATTACTCCTTGCCATCTGTCTGGGAAAAAAGCGCCAAGTCGTCAGGAATAATAGCTCAGGTCAAAAGTCCATCTCGCTGAGCCCTCTTCTCATCAACACTACCTTTAAGCAGATGTGGGAGGAAGAACAGGGCATGCAAACACAATGCTCGCTCCTAATCACTTTCAGCTTCCAAACGTGTCCAGCTCAGGGACTTCCTGGTCTGCATGAAGTTTTTGTTCATGCATTAATCTTCACTGGACTTCTCTTTTGTGAACTTGTCCAGTTTCCTCTTAAAACCATGTAAACTTTTAACCCTGACTACTTCCTTTGGCAACAAGTTTCAGATATCTAATACCTGTCACCACAAACCACTGCTTCCTTTTGCTAGTTTTGAATCTGGCTCTACAGGCTTCATTTGAGGTTCCAATTCCTGTGCAGGAAGAGGCAGAGAGCAGTCAGTCCATCCCCACCTACGCTCTTCCCACCCCTTCTGCTCTTACCCATCACATCTGTACACAGCCACCTCCTTTCTAGATTGAAGCCTCCCCGTGTACCGAGTTCTTCTGCAAGTGAATCTGTTCCCTATCTTTGATCAGTCCTTTTGCTCCTCTTTACACCTTCTGCAAGATTTGCAGTTTTACTATTCTTTCACATCCTTCATCGCCTTCAGAGAAAGATAAGCTCCTTTTCCTAAGAAAAGGAAAAGACCCTAAATAAGAGTCTTCCCACGTGTGCACAGGCTTACCTTTGAGGAAAAACCAAGAGAGCACAAAGGAAACCTTTCTACAACACAAGGAATTCAGCAACGGGGAGGAATGCGGTGCTTTAACTGAAACTGAGCAATCTGAGTCATTTCAAAGGGGAAATGCTAAAGCATCCTAAGAGAGTGAGGTTCTGAAACCCAAGAGGAGCCAGGCATAGAACGTCCTTAGCCTTCTTTGGAAATTTGGAGCCAGGCATCCTGCTGTTTACACAAAAGCTGAAGGAAGCTGTCTCTGTATCCTCTTCCCATCTGAAGCAATAGATAAGCATTACAGATTTGAAACCTGACTTGTGTATTTATGCTGTTCACTGTTTTGAAAATCTGAAATAAGGAAAGGGCGTTTTAATTCTTGCAATGCGGACTGTGCATCTGAAGCCATATTCTGCTAAGACATATGGACCATTATTTCATTATTACAGGAAGATTTCACACAAGCCTCACAGGAATTTAGTCTTGTTTATGTACCAGATGTAACCGTTATCAAGTAGGAGAAGGAGCAAACCCAAAAACTAAAAAAAAAAAACACCCCAAAACAACAAAAAAACCATATGGACCATTATTTCATTATTACAGGAAGATTTCACACAAGCCTCACAGGAATTTAGTCTTGTTTATGTACCAGATGTAACCGTTATCAAGTAGGAGAAGGAGCAAACCCAAAAACTAAAAAAAAAAAACACCCCAAAACAACAAAAAAACCCCATTTTCTGAAAATGCCATTAAGAACTGTGGTGCTATTCTACCCAGGAGCTCTGCCCTCCTGCCAGGAACGCTCCCATCTCAGCTTCTTTCTCAACTGGAACCTAAAACACAGCGGTTTGGCAGAGGAGCTGTTGAACAGCTTCTCATGTACTTGCAACCTGATCTGACCAGTGGCTTGGAGATGCTGGGCTTGCAAATACAAACGTAGCAGCTCAGCTTCTTGCTCCTGACCACTTTTGAAAAATAAGTGGAAATGGAGTGGAAAAGATTATTAGAAAAATTCTGTTTCCAGACTTGCTGTGTTTTGGGTACAAAACGGAAACATTTTCTATCTTCAGTTCTTCATCACTCCTTTCCTTTTTCTTCCTCTAGAGAAACGAAATTAAAGGGTGGAATCCTAACCCCTCTCTGGCTTCCTGGGTGAAACACAAAAATCTAGCCATAATGTATTTGGTATACATCAGTTTTTCTATATTCTTTTAAGTATACATTGTAGTTCTGTCTCTTTAAGCTAAAGACTTGTCTTGTAGCTCCTGTGGTTGAGGGCAATCCTCTTCCCTACAAAGATGTCTCCACTTTCATCCGCTGTACCAACCCAAACCTCTCCTGGTATGCAAAAGCCATATAGCACATTAAGCATTTGGAAGGCAGCTCTCCCCGCAGGATGTTTCACGGGCTACTGCATTTGGAAGGCAGCTCTCCCCGCAGGATGTCTCACAGGCTACTGGTTAAACTCAAGGAGTGTTGTTTACTCCAGAAGTGTCTGGAATCAGTTATGCTTAATAAATGGGCTACCTTGGTTTTGATGGGATAATATGTAGAGCTGTTTTGCTAAATCTTCTGTCTTTAAGCCAAGCCAAGCTCTTTTGGAGGGATCTGCCACCACAAACACAGATCTCAAAACAGGCTTTTAGACACTGACGTATCAACACTTACCAAGGAGGCCCCTACTAGGCTTCCCCTTTTTAGTGTTTCCTCCAAACTCTGAGATCCTCTGCTACGCTATGAAAGAAGAACGATGTCCATGGGAGGGGAAGCAATTTGGATGGCAAACAACACCTAGGAGTAACACTGCTGAGCAACACACTGGCAAGCCATTTTTATCTTTTGCTGGTAGGACTGAAATAATCACAGAATCATTTCCAAGTAGAAAATTGCTGGTAGGACTGAAATAATCACAGAATCGTTTCCAAGTACCAAAATCCTGTCACACTGCTGACAAAGTTGCAACTTCTGTGAGTTAATATTGAAGCCATAAAATAATTGAGGCTATATGAATCCTTTTACCAAGTGGCAATACATGATATCGTCCATTCCAGGAGTACATTCCATGCAGAATTCCAGTTGATACTTTGCCTTTACAGGATATTGAAAGTATGTTTGTTGAAAAATTAAAATCATTAACACTTTAAGACATGTAAAAAATATATAGGCTTCTAAAATTTCTCCCATTTTACAGATTATACTGTCTCATACTATGTTGACCTTAACAATAATATAAAATACAGCATATGATACTAAAAATATGTATCTTATCATATACTTGGGGCAAGGAAATAGGCCCTGGCAATAAAATATGCTGAGGACTGACTGGGTAAGAAGCAGCTCTGCAGAAAAAGACCTGGCTTAAGAAGCATCCTGGGCTGTATGAACAGGAGCAAAGGCAATACATTGAGAAAGTAATTACTCCCCCCTGCAAATTAGACCACATGTAGATACAACATCCATTTTTAGATGACCCTCAAGGAAAACCCTGCACATTTCCATTTAAAAAAATTATCTTGTGTCTAATGCTGCGATACTGAATCAAAATACAAGTTTCTTCTGATAAGAAGAGTACAGAAAAGACATACCATGCAACACAACTGCCACACTAGAAACATTGTAACTTGCTTTTTATCCAGGAAAATGATCTCAGGGTCATTGTGAAAATTTCCCCTAAAGCTCCATCCCATTGTGAAAAGAAAAAGTCAAGCAAAATGCAGACAGGGATGGAAATGAAAAGAGCTGACTTACCTTTATTTGCATTGCATTAATAGGAGAGCTCGTTTGACAGTGCAATGGTCCATGTGTCTGAATATGAAGAATATAAAGAAGAAATTCTTCTCGACTGGACACAGGCCAACCAACATGGAGAACCGTGTTGTTGATGGCACTTGGTCCTATGTTGTGCAGCTGTCAAACAAATATCATCAGTACTTTCCACAGCAGTAAAAAAACACAAAAACCACAGTAAACAGCACTTAGACATTTTCAAATTTTTAGTGTCCACAGCCTTGAGGTTCTTTGGGAAAGATGTACAGATTATTATGATCATTTTATTGATGGAGAATCTGTGGCAGGTAGGGGGAAAGGAGCTTTCCATGTTAGTCACAAAGCCAGTGGCAAATCTGGGACAACAACCTTTTTTGTCTGACTCTGTATTTAAGAAATCCATCACCTTTCCCATTTTTTCCTACATATGAAAGACCTGAAATTACCTAAAGAAGTATAAAAAACCCAACCCAAAACACATTAGCAAAATACACTATACAAATATATACAATTAACCTTAACAGAACATACTTGAAAATAGTAGCTGAAACTTCAGGACACAAAAGAATCACCGTTCAGGGTGCAGGAAGAGAAGGTATAGCACAGCTTAAACTATTTTTTGTGGTTAAGAACTCTATTTTCAACACTGCTCAGTCAATATTTCCCCAAAAGAAAAAAAAAGGAACTAGCTTTCCTAAAGTAACATCCCAGGGCATTATTCTTTTCTAGCAAAATGGGTAAAGATAGAAATAATAGAAATTTAAAAATCTGGGCTATTAAAATAGTTTTCTTATATCAGTTTACAATTTGAAAATATGTGATGACCATAGGAAGTCTGGATACATGTTAACACTGAGCATGAGAGCTGAAGAAGCAGAACACCATGGAGCTTTACTCAAAGTTTCTAGAGATGTAGAGAACTTCCTTTTTTAAAATGTGTAGAATTTTTTGTGACTGATAAGCTTTAAAACAAAAGAGAACTTCCTTTTTTAAAATGTGTAGAATTTTTTGTGACTGATAAGCTTTAAAATATAAATATAAAACTCACTTTCAATCTTAACATCTTCTTCAGTAAAGGGTTTTGGGGGGCGGAGAGCTTTTTTATGCTTTGCTGATATCAATAAACCATGAAGTGTTTAATCACTGTAACTATTTTAATAGTCATATATATAGTTCTACAAACAGCCGAAATTCTTAAGACAGGAAGATCTGTTAGATATTCTTCAGTTTAGAGAAATATGTTAAAATGAGGAATCAACAAATAGTATTTTGTATTTTACAGTCTGATTCAGTACAGTTTAGCATTGGTCATGCAAATTGTAATCTTACAGTGCTGATCAAGCTCAGTTGCTTATATTTTCTTGAGTGCTAGTTTGTGAATTATAACCATATGGGAAGCACTCTGTTCTACCCCCTAGAATAAAGGTCATTCATCAGATTCCAAAGTTGGCCTTACTATTCCATGCAGTTCGCTCAATGCACGTTTTTCGATCCTGAACTCTTCTCTTTCAATTGAGGAATCATCAATAGAAAAATCCCAACAATATATACATTTGTATACTTCAAATGTTAAGAGTTATTTTCAACAGAACTATTTCTGAGCAATGAGATAACAAGTTACTTGTATGTCTACAGGGTTTTTTTTCAGTTAGCTACACAGCTTCTAATGAGAAACCAGTCGTATCACTGAAAATACCTGGCATTGACTGTAATAAGCTTTTAAGCACTGTTTCTCATTCTTTTCAAATATACACAAAATCTTTACAGATCCCTTAAATGTCCAAGACAGACTCCTAGCATAAACTAGTATCTCCTTCAACAACATGAACAGATACTGGGGCTGTGAATTCCCAGAATAAATTTGGGTCATGTGCTAAAGCAGAATATTTACATTTGCAGCTTTATCTAGTTGCAGAGAAAGGCAATAAACCAAAGTCAGAAGCATTTCAATGGGAGCAGCATGAGGTCCTCTGGCAACTTATATAATTTTTACCTCGTAGATGTGTTCTACTAAAGGACCAATTTCTTCTTCTTTTGTAGGTTCATCTTTAGGTTCCCAGTTGTGAAGTGGCAAAATAATTGTTGGGGGGTGAGACACTCTATAATATATAAAACAGGTTAAAACAGTAACCGTTACCCGTGAGCAGCTGCATTACCTTTAGAAAAAAATAAAGACCACCATAGAAACCTGAGCCCTTAAAGGCTTTTCATTTGGGCACATTCATTAGAATTAAGTAAGGTGAACATAAATGAAGAAAACATTGACTTAATATCTGACATCTTTATTTCTGTCTGCTATTTTATTTTTCCTTCCCTCCTCTATCTGCCTCAAGAAAGGACCAATGCAGTTAACATTTCTATTTGAATCACCAGCATTTTATTTCACATAAAAACTGGAAATTCCTTGGAGGGGTCCCACTCAGATGCCAACTTTAACCTTATTCATTTGTTGAGAAGTTGGGAAATCAAGATCCCAAGAATTTCTTTTAGCATGGTAGGTGAGTTCTGGCACAGACATCTGCCATCTGCTAGTACTGACAGTAGCTCTTGGTGCTAAAAAGGCAAGTATTACCCTTTCTTTACAAGGGTCAACTGTCACTCGGTTTCCCTGCTTTCCAGAATCTTTGGCTTAAAGAAAAGCCATAAAATTTCAATGCTTGTTCTGCCAAAGCTGGAAGTTTGTTGACAGAAAACTGTTAAAAAAAGAATTGCTAATGAGTTCTTTTCAGAATATAACATTTGACTTCTGTCCACCAATATTCATTTACCTTCCCTTCAGTCTGAACAGAGAAAGCACCACTGCAGATTGTCCCTTGAAGAAGGGAACAGAAGACTGGATGGTTTTGTTGCAAATGCTGACATTTTAAAATATTTTAGGAAGAAACAAACTATCCTTGCTTCCAGCTTTTATGTCATATACAGTGAATGAAATGTCTGATAAGCTCTTTTCGACAGAATACAGCTTCTCAAAGTAGCAAAGGATCCCAGAGAAGAACAACTTAGTACCATCCAGCCAAAGCACAACTCTTCATGAAATGCAGAGTATCCTGGAGGATCCTGCTAACTCCAATACTTTCCCAAACTTCCAAAGACCAGCAGTTTGTATTAAACAAGTGTGCCAGAAGACAAATTTACAAGCCAAACCAAATAATAAAGGAAATAAAACATATTAATTAAAAAGTCATTTCAGATGAGGTCCTTAGCCTAAGTTGTTATATGTAACAAATGGCCTTGTTTCCAATGAGGATTTTAATTATTAATTGTTGGAGAATATGAACTTCAAAGCTGGAAGTTTGTTGACAGAAAACTGTTAAAAAAAGAATTGCTAATGAGTTCTTTTCAGAATATAACATTTGACTTCTGTCCACCGATACTCATTTACCTTCCCTTCAGTCTGAACAGAGAAAGCACCACTGCAGATTGTCCCTTGAAGAAGGGAACAGAAGACTGGATGGTTTTGTTGCAAATGCTGACATTTTAAAATATTTTAGGAAGAAACAAACTATCCTTGCTTCCAGCTTTTATGTCATATACAGTGAATGAAATGTCTGATAAGCTCTTTTCGACAGAATACAGCTTCTCAAAGTAGCAAAGGATCCCAGAGAAGAACAACTTAGTACCATCCAGCCAAAGCACAACTCTTCATGAAATGCAGAGTATCCTGGAGGATCCTGCTAACTCCAATACTTTCCCAAACTTCCAAAGACCAGCAGTTTGTATTAAACAAGTGTGCCAGAAGACAAATTTACAAGCCAAACCAAATAATAAAGGAAATAAAACATATTAATTAAAAAGTCATTTCAGATGAGGTCCTTAGCCTAAGTTGTTATATGTAACAAATGGCCTTGTTTCCAATGAGACTTTTAATTATTAATTGTTGGAGAATATGAACTTTCCTGTGTTTTTGCAAAAGCCATGGCATTTTCGCAAAAGCCAAGGGTCTCTACCCTTAAGCTACCGCAAAAATTTGCAAACCAGAAAGTTTACATAGAAAAAAAGAAGCAGCACGAGGTTTCAAAAAACAGTGTTTTCTATCACACTCCCTCTTCAGTGCTTTTCTTATCCACAGAATTACAAAGTAAAAAGTGTAAATGTAGCCATTCCATTAAAATGATTATAAGGTATGTAAAAACATTTATTTTAACAGATTTTACCATTCTTCTGAGGACTTCTGCTATTGACATGAAGGTAGCAAAACTAGGTCAAATTAAACAGAAATCCTCCTTTTGACTATTTTATTTTGCATTTAACTGGGATTATTTTTTACATTTGTGTGATTTATTAGACAAGGATTTTTCCTTGACTTTTAGGTGAGCAAAACTAGGTCAAATTAAACAGAAATCCTCCTTTTGACTATTTTATTTTGCATTTAACTGGGATTTTTTTTTTACATTTGTGTGATTTATTAGACGAGGATTTTTCCTTGACTTTTAGGTGACAATGATCAGTCAAACAAGAGCACTGACAAGTAAGATAAAGGAAGTAAAGGAAAATGGGGATATTGTATATCCCTTTACTTCCTTATTGTATAACTATATCCTTCTTTACTTTCTTACTGTATATCTGTACAATATTGCATACAGTGTGTATATCTATACAAATTGTAAATCTATACAATAAGAATTCTGTCAGCTCCAAATCCTCCCAGTCCAAATTACTTCCTTCCCAAATCCCTCATTCCTCTAGTGCTCTTTCAGCAGTGGAAAATAACAATTACAACTACAAATCTCTTGCATTTTCATAGGGAAAAAAAAACAGGGAAGCAGAATAAATCTCAGTTCATTCAATGAGCAGTTGCTCTGATAAACTAAGGAGTTATCTTAAATTTCTTTTGAATAGTTTATCAAAGAAGCTTTCTTCCTTTCTCATAGAGGCAGTAATTGCACTGGTCTACTGTGCAAGCATATATGCATGTAAGCATACACACAATTTGGTAACTACTTACTTTTTTCCTCACTAAAATGTACAATGATTCCAGTCCCACTTCATGCAACTTTGTGCAGAGAAATAGGGAAACCAACGCAAGGTATTTTCCAGTCCAAATGTGGACACGGTCTCTCTTTATCTAGGAAATTGTGAGCAAATAGTTCCCTTGGAGCTGTATGCATTAGCATCTCTGAGTAATTAGCAAAATCTGTCAGCAAAGCTTTTGGGAATTTTCCTTTGTACATGCATGCTATAGCTAATAAGAAACTAAAAAACTTATGAAGAAAGGAACTGGAAGCCATTCAATTACGTAATTCCTCTGGTTTTAATGAATCATGGAATCACAGAATCATCTAGGTTGGAAGGGACCTTAAAGATCATGTAGTCCAACCTCTTCCTTAGCACTGCAGGCAGCAATGCAAGACACTTTTTCCACTTGTGGGCACGCTATTTTTAAGAACAGTGGATGTTTCGGTCATTTCTTGGTGTCTATCTCTTTACCTGTTACAGAACTTTTCATTAAAAAGAATACGCTATGGCACAGAAAGAAGATGATAGAGGCAAAAAGTTTCCGAAAAGTTTGCAAAGAATACAAAAAGTTTGTAAGGTTTCCCTTTGAAGGGGATGAGGAACCTCACTGAAAAAAAAATCCAGAATCCACAGCCCTGGAAGCACCCCTGAGAAGTCTTGTGCATGTATCCATAATAATTACTTTGATGCACTGAAACTCCAGCCAGTCCTTACCCTGGGCGTCCACCCATCCCAACATCTAGCAGTTGCTGTCTCCCAACATTTTCTCACACACCTGCAGCCCACCAATTAACCACTTGATTCTTATTTTGTCAGCCCCTACTTCTCTTTGTTACCTTTCTCCTCATTTTGTATTTTTCACCTCTATCAAGCTCATTTCCTTAGATCTCCACAACTACAGAAAATGAAACAACACTCTAATTTCTATTTGTCTGAAAGACAAAGATGTTGTCTTTCAACTGCTCCTTTTCAAAAATATAAGCACTAACATATATCCACACAGTCTTTGAGTGCCACCTAATAGTAGCCTGAGGGTTAGTGTTCTTGGAAAGCACTTCCAAAATGCAACAAAAAGTTCTTTAAAAATCTCCCTGACTTAGATTGAATATTAGAGCAGAGAATGTGATCTTTGTGATCTGCAAAATGGCTGGATTCTCCGCTGGCACTACGTCGTTAAAGTATTGTCTTAGAAGTGGTAACAATGAGTGGATCTTTATAAATCCATAAATACATAAAGAAATGCATTTTTATCTGTTTGCACCTAAAGGCAGCCCCTTGAGGTGCATCATGGCATCATGTAAGAGACATCTACTCCTCTTGCATCAGCCAAGCCCTGTGGCCTGGCTGTGGGAGTGAAGCTGGGCCATGCACCTCCTCTTCTCCCTTGCGGTGCTGAGATCGGTAAAGGTCTGGAGCAGTAGTTTGAGAAGAGATGTAGGAAATCTGAGATCCCAGACAAAAAGTATTTTGGGCAATTATTTGCTTCAAAAGAACATCCTGCCAACATCCTCCAGGATGCCAGGGTAGGAGTCTAGTTCTAAGATTTTGCAGGGTAGTCTGAGATTCTTATCACCGAGTTGCATTTTATAGTTTCAGAAACCAAGCTGCATGTGAGAACAGAGATAGAAATACTCATCTTTGATCATATCCTGCGCTTGTTTAGTTTTGGCATCCCCTGTGTCAGTGGACAGGCACCTGCTTCAGACAGAATGCAAGAAGCCTACAGCAGTAGAGTCATAGAACAGAATCACAGAGTGGTCAGAGTTGGAAGGGACCTTAAAGATCATCCAGTTCCAACCCCCTGCCCTGGGCAGGGACACCTCCCACCAGACCAGGTTGCTCCAAGCCCCATCCAGCCTGGCCTTGAACCCCTCCAGGGATGGGGCAGTATTAGTAGTTGGTTACCCTCTTGTCATAACTCATTCCTTATTCATTCTTTCTCCAAAAGGCCTCACTCTGTTCTCTATTAGTATATGCCCTGCCATAAAGTGGTTCCTCTTTCCAGTCATAAAAGCAGCAGGTTCTGCTTTGGTGATCAGAATTAAGTGTTTAAGTGGTTGTGCAAGCAGACCCACATACACGTTCTGCTTTGGTGATCAGAATTAAGTGTTTTAGAAGTGGTTGTGCAAGCAGACCCACATACATCAACAGGCACTTTGTACTAGTACCATCCCCACACAATCCGAATGCCTAATTAAAACGCTGGCTCTGACTGGTGTTACGACCATGTGGGATTCTACAGTGTGCTGCGTTTGCACAGACACTCGGGAGGTTTCCTGGAGTCCACGTGGGCAGTCCTACTCTACGTGACCTGGTAAGTCCCTGGTAGCTCCATCCTGCAACGCTTCCAGGGGCGAGACTCCCTGGGAATTCTCAGGTGTTCTTGGTGTATAAGGTGGTTTGGGATTATAATATGTCAACAAATGAGGGGCAATGGGCACAAGCTGGACCATGGGAAGTTCCACTCCAATCTGAGGAAGAACTTGTTTGGGGTGAGGGTGGCAGAGCCCTGGGACAGGCTGCCCAGGGAGGGTGTGGAGTCCCCTTCTCTGGAGATCTTCTAGCCCCGCCTGGATGCTCCTGAGTGATGTGCTCTGGGCAGCCCTGCTTTGGCAGGGGAGTTGGACTGGATGGGCTCTAGAAGGTCCCTTCCAACTCCAACAATTCCGTAATTCTGTGATTCCGTGAAAGGATTCACAACATGGGATTATTACATGTGGAAAGATTCAATACAAAAAATAGCTTTCGTTATGAATTGAAATGGTCGAATACTTACCCTCTGATCTGTACTTGAGCCACAGCACTGATGTTGATATGGAGGTTAACTACATTGCTGGTGGGATTAATCTTGTTAGAACTGGAAAAGATGTGTACTAGGGTTAAAAAAGGTTATTCAGCAGAACTCTAGATTGTTATAGATACAGCACTGAATACCACAAGGCCTACAATGAGGAACTGATGAAATTGGACATATTACAGCATGGGCGTGCTATTGACACTCTTCAGTCTTGTGGGACGCTGTTATTTAAATTTTATATTATTTGAGCTCATCACAGGTTTAATAATACAATCAACTCAAGCTTCCTTACAAGAGTCCTATGCATTAATATGATGATGTAAATTTATTTAGCTCATGTAAAATCCCCTTGTTGGACTTGGCTGTATGGATAGGAGTATCTTAATAGAATACAAGGGTGTTTCATACATTGGGGGAAGTTAACGAACAAGAAAGGCTTTGTTATAATAAAATTTGGTTTTATGACTCTCCAAACTTGTGACTTCTGCATGACAGGGCCTCTGAGGAAAAATCACCAAAATAAACTGTTTCTTTACCTTTCTTATTTTCTCCCCTCCCTTACCCAGAGGGTGTTTACACCCTTAATCCCACTTAGCAGTGAAAACAGATGCTCATGTTTAAAGCCTAGTGCTCTCACTCATTTTATTGTCTTTTCTTATTGCAAACTCTTAGTGGCAAAGGTAGTTTCTCTTACTTCAAAAGGCCATTCCTATGATTACACCCCATACAGGTAAAAAAAAAAAAAGATTCGCTGGTTCAAATTCATGAAGATGGTGAAAATAAATAACTACAGACGTAGATTTTATTTAGTTATGGGATTAATGATACTAAATTTGGATGTTTTTTTGAAGCAAGTGTGGAAGTACTTCCTTGCTTCATGGAAGTTTCTATTGCTGTCACAGTTTACTGTTATCACATCTGGGTAGCATCAGTCAAATGGAAACATTCAGAGGAGGCCAGCATTCCCAGCAACTGACTCCTGAGGAGTAAAGGGCAACACTGCTTTGATCCAGGCTTTCTGGTTGCAGATTGCTAAAATTAAGAGCAGCTCTAATTTGTTTGTAAACTAATGCAGATTCCCCTCAAACAGCATTTGAACTTTTCATGTAATACTTTATAGCCATTGTTTTGACCACAAAGTAAAAAAAATTGCTTAAAGTATAAAAATGACCGTACCACAAATTTGTTAGAATAAGCTTTTCTCAAATTTGTATAATGGTACTACCTTCCATAGAGTCAAAATACAGATTTTTGATCATAGATATTTGGTATTCAAATCTTGTTTGTGCTTTCTGGTATTCTGTAGTGAAGAGTTTAAGTGTAAGCGCCAGGACATCTCCCTCTCTAAGGGGTATATAACGGCCAAGCAAAATCCACATCAGAAAAGGAATTAGATTTCAAGACTCAGTCTCTTGCTTATTTCCTATAAGTAATGAACTTCAGTCTTGCGAGCCAAAATATTTGTTTTCCATTTGATGTTTTTGAGTAAATTAAAGGTCTCCCCTTTGAATAACTCAGACCAGGACACAAATTCAGACACAGTCTCTGCTTCCCTTTCTTCTATTTAGGTAATTTCCTTTTTTTGCCATATGAATTTCTGTTTCCTTTTTCTTTTAAGACTGTTTTACCCGTTCCTTAAGGACATAGAAACGCACAAACGGTAGTGCTCCTTGGGAAGGAATGCAGGAAGAGGTGAGTTTTAATCATAGAGTACATTCCCTCTGCAAGAACTCTTTTTTTTTTTTTTTTTTTTTTTTTTTTTTTTTTTTTTTTTTTTTTTTTTTAATGCAGCATTTCATTTTGATACCAGTTTGTGGAAACTGTCCTTTTTGGTAGCCCAACAGATTTCCTCCGTTTACATTTCAGTGTGTCATACTCATGGAGGAAGCACAAGATGTTGCTGTCTCCAGAAGTTCAGACTTATTCCTGAGTAAGGCCTTGTCACTTTTTCCATGAACTACCCAAAAAGCCCTGAACCTCTCCCATTTCACAGGATGAAAAGGGTAGCAACAAAAGCCTCTGATACCCCTTTCAAACTGTATTGCTTGCATTATCGACATGATAGTGAACAGCAGTATGGACAGAGGACCTATGAACTGGACATTCTATCTTGTGTCTCTCTCTGGAGGAGCGTGGGCCCAGGCCGACATGGCCTCCAGCTCACCAGCCAGAGCCCTGGGAGAGGGGCACCTCATTGACTTCGGTGGCATTGCTCTGCCCTTCCCAAGTTTCTGCATGCCCTTTCCTTCAAGGGTTACATTCTGGAAAGATGACAAGCATTTTAAACGTCTCAGTTATTTACCATAATGAACATGATCAAGGTCCTCATTAAAGGCCAGGCATTAGCAATTAAGTCTCTGCGTGTGGGGCGGAGAGGGCCCCATCAGGAACTCCAGTGTGTATTTAATGAGGACAGATGGAGCAGAAGCCCTGCCACCTACTGAAAACATCCTTAGTTTGTTCTTGCTATATCCTAACCCAGTCTGACCTGTGCTTTTTTGTCCCTGTGGAAGAAGCACTGCTCAGCATAAAACAGAAGATTCCCCAGCAGCAATATTTCAGCCCCACAAACACAGAGGAAACTAATGGAAAAATGACACAGGTTCACCTGCAACAAACTGAAACAGTTTTCGCTCTTCATGCCAGTAAATCTGTTAAGCAGATTTTAATTGCTCTCCTTCTATTTTCTAAATAGTTTTGAAGAAGTGGCATATCTTTTTTTTTTTCTTTTTTTCCCGCATGATATGATTTTAAATACAGAACCTTCTTACCAAGTGATCACTGTTCATTAATCCTGAAGTAGAGAACCAAGTGCAAATTGGGCAAATCTGCAGGAGATCCTTGGACCACTGACCAAAATCAGTTACCCTGAATTTTTATATACTAAAATTCTCAGAATAACTCTGAGACTGATTTTGCTAAAAGCTAACAAGGTTCCAACTCCACAAATCCTCCTAAAGAAAGGTACCATAGGAAAGCCCATGGAATCTATACTGACACTGAAGAGTTAGAATGACTTTCTTATATATTAAATTTCAGATAGCATCAGGAATTCAGAATTTAAATAACCATACTCTTTATAAAACATCTAACCTTTTTATTTGCAGCTCAAAATTGATGCTGAAATCTGCGCTTTCAAAATGCTGAACAGAAAATCGAATGCCTGTAGAGAACTGGGAAAGAAAGAAAACAACAGGTTACTAAAAATGGTTTGATCCTTCCATATTGAAAAATCAGTACTATTCAATACTGCATTTAACAGACTTGTGTAGGATGCTGTTACTTTTTAAAATTAGTATGAAATAATATAATTTAGTTGTTGTTAGGAAAAAATACCATCCTGACTGTGTATGTCACCAGATGGAAAAATTGGCTGGACAGAGGAAAGATCAAGAGAAACAGAAAAGCATACTCCCATGAACACAGCGGTGGGTCCTTCATCCAGACAGTCTTTGCTTTGCTTTGCCAAGCCAAAAGGAAAATAATAGCTGTCTGGCACCTCTCATCCCTGTCTCCATCCATGTATGCCTTTGTCCAGGGCTTCCTTCTCCTCCCCTTCTCCCTGTAACTGTGCATGAGCTGACTGCTTTAGGGGTGTGGGGCTGAAATCACCTGTTTTTCTTCTAGAGGCTAAATTAGCAACAGCTTGATATTTTAGTTTGATTCAGTTTGATTTTTTTTTTTCATTGCAGCTTTTGGGAGCCATACTTCAGTTAAGAGGAATACAATGTCAAAGTTTTATTTGCAGTTCAGTGTGTGACCACAGAATATAGAGGGCAAAACACAAAATTCCCCAAACAGAAGGAAATAAAGGTTTCCACTGGTGCTCCCTTTGTATGTGCAGACCTTGCTTCCTCCATCTGATAATTTCCATTTGCTTTGCAAGAAGGGCACAGAGTAAAGCAGAACAAGTTAATTCAGAAGAGGGAATGAACTTGCAGGGCTAACTGAAGAAGGAGTATACAACAGCATATGGTGGGGACTCTGTAGCCCTCTTGTTGGACACCTTCAACCCCAGTATGCAAGTGTCAGGGGGGCAGGGAGAGATGGCATCTACCCGTCACATTAAATTAATAAAATGGTACTGCAAGATTTAAATTAATGGTTTTAATTTCCTCATTTCAACCGCATGTGTTTTGAATCTGATAGTTCTTGAAAAGTGAATTTTGCATTGAGCCTGACAGCAAAGTCTACAGCCTATAATCTTGTGCAACTTCTCACTCCCACCCACCTCCCCTATTGCCTGACGGTAGAATTTCCTGCTAGAGACCTTGCACACTGGGCTTTCATTTTTTAAAAAAGGATGGTTCCATATAGCCATATTCTCCATGTGGAGAAACAATCTTCCTGAGAAATTCATCAAAAGGCATTAGGAAATGAGGACGTCATTCCTTCATCTCTGCCTGTATCTGACTAGATTACAGGGAAAAAAAAAGTATAAGAAAAAGAGTTGTCTGCTTGGAATACTTTCCTTAACATACTTGGGGTAGCATTCCCAGCACCAGGACAGCAATGTAAAGTTTTATGTTTGGGACCTAGATGCAACATCGCTGAAAAGGAGGCATGTTCCTCTGTGGGTGTAATTTCAGATGTTTAAGCAATTCCTTTTTCCCAAGCTTTTATCTTTTTTTTAAAAATTTTCATTCAGTTCTCCTTCTTTCCTCGCTTGCAGTGGTGCATCACTGAATTTTAATCCATCTCCAGAAGGAGACTTGGCTAACACGTTTCAATTACTTCTTTCACTTGTCCAATGATGATGAAAACAATAGGGTCACCATAAAAGAAATAACAAGTTCAAAACTCTGAATTCTGAACATTTTAATGTCATGGTCATAGTTACTTTTGGAAGTAAGATCTTTAAGATTAAAAGACAATGTTCATGTTTAATTTAAACAGAAGCTAAATAGCTGACTTGGAATGGAGACGTAAGCTATTTTTAAGACCACTTTTTGGAGATGATTTTAACAACTGTATTGATATTTCACTCACCTTTAAAAATATAACATGATTTTTTTAATCTCTGAGACAAAAAAATCTGAATATTTAATTCAGCATTTCTCTTACTATTTTTACTAATCATGTCTATATAAATTTGCTTCCACTAATAGCAGAAAAAAGACTGGATGAACCAAAGATAAAATTTTCCTCAGATAGAGCAGAGATGAATGGCAGTTTTGAAGATATATTATACCCCTGAGGCCTAATCCCTTACTTAATACTGAAACACACTCCTACTGTATGAGCCTAATAAGCTGCAGATGTTGTCTTTGTATGGTTGTATGACTTTGTTAACGTCAATTAGCCCTTGACACTGCTACTAATAATGCGGCAAAGATGCTCACATGCCCTTGCTGAAAATCCAGTGAGGCCAAAGGAGCTGAATTTTCCTGAGCTTGTAACTTAGCAATCTCTCAACCTCCTTATTTTAGTAGGACATTCATTTTATCAGCTTAATTTTATTTAAAAAAAACTTCCAAGTCAAATTAGTTTCATTAAAATTGCATTATTTTCCACCCTAGTAACCTCGTGGATCTTTGAAATACACGACATTTCTGCTATTATTGATAAGCTTTAATCTGCTATTATGTTAGCCAGGATCTAGGAGTATGCTAGGAGACAGAAGGCTAGCTTTTTCTGAAGTGCCTTACAGTGCACATGAAAGATAAAGCCTCTGTGCTCTTGAAGAATCAGTTTGGTACATACCAAGAAATAGGCAAGAATCTTCCAAGCCTCCCAGTCTTCGAACCTTATTTCTGTTCATTTTGATTAACTTCCAAATTTTTTTACAAGAATTTAGAGTAAAACCTACATCTCACATGCTAAGTCTGCTGAACAAGCACTAGGAAGCTTGTCAGTCATTTCCCATTTCAGTGTCAGAAATAAGTACTTCGATTGCTCTTTGCCAGCGAGATGGTATCACAGACATTTATGTTGCATTCTGGGCCACATGTTTTTTTGATCTTCTTTCCCATTTCTTTTTATTTTATTTTATTTTTTTTAACCACAAAGGTATTACTGAAAAGGTTAAGTAATTTTTTTGGCCAGTAAATGATTTTAAGGTCACAGATTTTCAGTGACAGTCAGATATACCAATTTTGATGACAATAATGCATTCTGAAGACGTGAAGTGTCAGACAACTCTGCAGCCCGCTGCAGTAATATCCCATGGCTTATATCACACAATCCTGACATAGCCCTCATACTCAGATGATCTTAAAGAGCCCAAGAATCCCGGGATTTCAGAGTGCTGAAAAGTCATTACAATGACTCAATAGTTAAGTGGTTTAGGAATGTTAATTTTGACCTAACCCTCCCTTCCCACTCCCCCAGAACTTCTACAAAGAGTCCCTTTCTGACTGAATATTTTGAGAATAACTGATCTCCTGCCAGAGCAGAATTGTTTTGCAAAACTGGAAATGGATCAGAGCAGCTTTCCGTGATTTATTCAATTTGTACAAAGGGTTGGTATTTCGCTGTTGGAAGTACATTTGCCATCATAAATATGTTTGAACTGAAAAAGATCAAGTCCTTTCACCTTTACTAAGCTTCCAGGACTGCTGGTTTTAAAGATAAAGTTAGGGTTGAAGCTTTCATTCATTATAATCTAACACTTTTGCCATCTGGCTTTGTAACGCTCTATCTTCATATGCCTTAATTTTCAAGGGCTGCATTTTTTTGTTACAAGCCAGAATATCCTTAAACATGTTATGAACCCTGCTGGTTTATTCTGCTTTGTCTAAGTTTCTCTTTATGAAGTATTTTGCTTAGGAGTCTTTGCTAATAATGCATTTATGTCAGCCCTAGAGCTTATTCTGAAGAAGACTAAGATTAGTTATGCTGTGAGAATTCAAAAGGAGACAGGTGAGAATAGTACTGCTTTAGTGGCCACCAAATAGCATTCCTGAGGTCTTCACACTACGAGCGTTTTGGGTTAAGGATGACATGGAAACAGGGATTTGGATTCAAAGGGATCATCTCCATTCCTCAGAATTGTTTTCAATTACTCTTACATTTTTGGAGTTTCATTTAGTAGAATAAAACAAAAACTACAAAACCCTTTAGCCCTCTTCTCTATACTCACTGACTCTAATATCTATCCAGTCTGCCTTCTTAGTGCAATGTCCTTCCCAGAAGATGCTTATAGTACTTCCTTCAGACTTCTAGTTCACAGTAGCTCTGCAGAGAAGGATCCTCCCCAGGGAGGTTCCTGCTCCCACAAGGTCCATCATCTGGAGTTACTTTTTCAATGATTTCCAGCTCTTTTTAATCCCAAAGAGTTTATCTGGTTCTGCTCATGACCATGAAGGCGGACGACTGTATGAGACACCTGGTCTCATGTTCACTTCCAAAAGCTCTACGACTGATCTGAAGGTAACCCTGTGAGCCAAACTAGCTTGTTCTAGTCCCAATCTCCTATCATACAATCCACTTGGTTCTTTTATTGAGGGTCAGACAGTAAATGCTTCAAGATCATAAGGGGCCAGAAAAAAATCCCTCTATAGACAGTCTGAAAAGTGAAATACTGATCTTGCATAGGACAAACCTGAACTTAGTGAGGATTTTTAAAATACTAAGGACATTTGCTTTGGTTTCTTTGCAAAGCCCAATATGATATGCAAACAGTGGCAGTTATTCAATTAAAAGCTGTTGTTTATTCCTTGAATACATTCATGCTCATGACTGCTTCATTTTTATTGACAGCTTTTTATCTAGGTAGAAAAGCTTAGATTGTTTTTAGCTAAATATCCATAGCATTGATGAATTTATAAGCAGCACTAGAATTCCTCTGCAAGGGCATCCGTGGAGAACATTCCTGAGTTTAGCACTTCTGGGATTGCCCTGACCTGTTTTGTCATGAAATAGGGACAAGTCGTGACAACTGTGGAATGGGTAACACTTTTTTTGTCTCTAAACCCATGTGTAGTCCTTATTGGCTGTCCATCGTCAGTCATTATTCAGTTCCACTTTTGTCTAAAAACAATGCTATGAACGTTCTACCTAACATTTAGTAGGATTTATGAAAAGCTGTCTTAGGAAAATGTTTAGAATGACATTAGTAACTTGAAGGAAAACTCGACTGCAATCACATTTTCACAGATATAAATCATGATAGAAACTGATAAAACAACCCATATGCACTAAAGACAAGAATCAGGCTAAAGAAACTGTCATTTACTACATGTATCTTCAAGCAGAAAAAATACTAAAAGGGAGAAATAAACAGATTACATTATGGATTGGGATACCCATTATACTACTGCAACTTCTGTGACTTAAATAGAATCATTCATTTTCTTTAGAGCAAGTGAAATAAAACACAGGCTCTAGCATTATTAATCTTTTAGAACAACAAATTGTTCGTTTTTCAGAAGCACAGTTCTGCCCCTTAGTAAAGCAACAATTTCCCAGCCAAGTAATCTGGTTTAGGTGCTGCTTATTAGGGGACATTCTACTAATTTAATAGTTTTCCACTTGCTCTCCTTTTAAATTCAATTAGATAAAAATCAGGAAATGCATCCGGTTTTCACTTACGTTTGCGCCAGCCACCATGGGATTCCCGAGATCACAAACCACCATCCTCGTGTCATTTTCCATCTTGTAATCACAGCTCAGGACACGCAGCGCCTGCAACAAAGGGACACCCACAGGGAGATCAGAGATCGCAGTGAAATGTGTCCCCTCGGGGAAGTGGTGCCTTTTGGACTGTGACATTTCTTTTGATTTCAGACACCTGCTCAGTGCACTATCAAAACATTTAATGCGTTATTAGACTAATTGAACCCATTTAATGTGTTAGGGCTACAAAGACGATGAGGGGCCTGAAGCATCTCCCTTATGAGGAGAGGCTGAGGGACTTGGGTCTTCTTAGTCTGGAGAAGAGAAGGCTGAGGGGGGATCTGATCAATGCTTATAAATACTTCAAGGGAGGGCGTCAGGAGGATGGGGCCGGTCTTTTTTCAGTGCTGCCCAGGGACAAGACAAGAGGAAATGGGCACAAACTTGAGTATAAGAAGTTCCACCTAAACATGAGGAGGAACTTCTTCACTTTGAGGGTGGCAGAGCCCTGGCAGAGGCTGCCCAGGGAGGTGGTGGAGTCTCCTTCTCTGGAGACATTCAAACCCCACCTGGACACGTTCCTGTGGGACCTGCTCTGGGTGGACCTGCTTTGGCAGGGGGTTGGACTAGATGATCTCCAGAGGTCCCTTCCAACCCCACAGCATTCTGTGATTCTGTTATTGTCAGGCAATGGGGGAAAACTGATGCCAGGGAAGAACAATCAGGATAGTTCCCCAGTACCTTAAGAGCCACGATGAGATTACTCTATTTCTCGTTTTAACATCCTGCTTTGTCATTGGGCATCATTCCTACAGCCATAATGACTCAACAGAGGAAAAATCAGGCAAAACTGAGTGAGGAGAACAGGCCTCACACTAATTGCAGTGGTTGTATTATCCAGCACTCGAAGCCTCTGTAGGGAGTTTCTGGCACTGGCAGAACTTTGTTACTGAGGAAGTGCAGAATTTTATTTTCCAACATATGGTAAAAGAGAACATTAAATAGTTCTGTAAAAACATAATCTCTTACCTGTGTTTATAATTCAGCAACAAAGGAGACATATTTTCACGTTATCAGAAATTAAGGTGTTGCTTTTTTTTTTTTACAGCATTAAGTAAAATTTACCTTTTTCCAGCAACTACTCATTCATAGTTTGTACCTAATATTTCTGAGGCAGTTTTGTTTGGCAGCTTGGAGGATACACTCATATAATTTCCTTCTAAAGCTCTTAACGTAAGATGTAGCCTGTGTTTTGTTCTGTATCTTTTTTGAACCCTTTAGTCTTTATCACTAGTTGTTATCATCAGTGAGCAAAACAGAATGGACAAAAGGAGGAACAGCTATACAATAGCAGAAGTGGAACATGAGCCAGCAGTGTGCCCAGGTGGCCAAGAAGGCCACCAGCATCCTGGCCTGTGTCAGGAACAGCGTGGGGAGTAGGACTCGGGAGGTGATGGTCCCCCTGTACTGGGCACTGGTGAGGCCCCACCTCGAGTACTGTGTGCAGTTTTGGGCCCCTTCCCACAAAACAGACATTCAGGTGCTGGAGCGGGTCCAGAGAAGGGCAACGGAGCTGGTGAGGGGTCTGGAGAACAAGTCTTGTGAGGAGAGGCTGAGGGAGCTGGGGGTGTTCAGCCTGGAGAAAAGGAGGCTGAGGGGAGACCTCCTCGCTCTCTCCAACTCCCTGAAAGGAGGGTGTAGCCAGGGGGGGTCGGTCTCTTCTCCCAAGGCACAGGCGATGGGACAAGAGGAAATGGCCTCAAGTTGCACCAGGGGAGGTTCAGATTGGAGATTGGGAAAAATGTTTACATGGAAAGGGTTATGAAGCCTTGGAATGGGCTGCCCAGGGAAGTGGTTGAGGCACCATCCCTGGAGGTGTCAAAAGACGGGTTGACATAGTGCTTAGAGACATGGTTTAGTGATGTGGGGTTTTTCCGTATGGTTTTCTTTTGTTTTTTTTTTTTATCAGAGTTAGGCGGATGGTTGGACTAGATGATCTTAAAGGTCCCTTCCAACCTGGACCCTTCTGTGATTCTATGATTCTAAGTTAGGAGATACAGAGTAAGAGAAAACAACAACAACATCGAGTTTTTTTCCTGTTTTCCTCTCTGGCATATTCAATAAAAGAAAATCCTTCCATAAACTGGCTTTGTAAAAACAGGATGCAGCTAATTGTTGCTATAAGGCTCTCCCACTACCCTTCCTCTAATTTCTGATTCTCACTAATTAAGGTGCAAGGTCATGCTCTTTATATAAAAAGACTTGGGAAATCTCCAGACCATGGACTACAAATTCATTCCTACCTGTAAAAGCCAGCATGGACATGCTGATCTTATAACTTCCTGAGAATAAAAGAAAAGGTAGGGCATGTCCTAAGAGGAGCCCATGCCCTCAGTGCACACCTCACTGTACACTGACATTTTTACAATTTGCTAGGAGGAAACACAGCTTGTTACACAGCACCTCCAGAGCCCCAATAGCCTTTCCAAACTCTCTAGGGTTGGGAGTGGGGGATTTTTACACTCTTTCCAGCTGCTTAATTAGAGGTGGGGAGCAACACATGGGAGAAGAGAGAGCATTAACACAGTTGAAATCAAACTTGTCTGGAAAACTGTTCATTTTAACTTGATGTGTGGGTTTATAGTTTTGATTTTTTTCTGTAGGGGAGTGGAAATTGAGGTCTAAATGTTAGAAAATAAATAATCATCTATATTTGATGCTCTGCAGTTTCTTTATTAATGCTGTATCACATACCAGTACAGAGTAAATCAGCCCTTATCACACTTTTTTTTTTGTTCTTCAAAGGCTGAGCAAATAGAGGAGTTTTCAAGTAGGTTTTCTTCAACGTGGAGGCTATGCTTTTAGTCTGAAAATGACTGACGGCACAGAATTTATATGACCAGCATCACAAAAGCTAGTATGTGCAGCATAAAGGTGTGACAAAGGGTCAGCTGTGGTAGAATTTCTTCAATACTGAGATTTATTGCCTTTGTTTTTTCACTGATCTCCTTTTTGAGGATGCTGAGTACAAAACAAGAGAATTAAAATCAAGAGCAGAGACTCACAAACCCAGTGCTGTCAGTATCACTGAGATCATATGTAGCTCAGCCAGATGGAAGGTTTTGCCACAAAATCCTTCTACCTGCCACTGGTAGCAATTTATATTTTTATAGCAACACATGGTCTTTTTGGCAGTCTTGAGCAGAAGCAAAACCCCAACAATTAACACGTGTGCTCCCAGGGTGCATTTTAACTAGAAAATGACTGGATGCTTTAAGTAATCCAGGCAGCCTACAAACTTGAAACTCTTCCTGGTGGTCTCAGTGATGAATTACTAATTGATGTCAGAATAATTAAGCACAACAGGCAGAGTAAAACACCTCCTCTCTTTCCTTGATCAACACCTTCCAATCTTACTTTCTGAGGAAAAGTGCATGGATGCCACCAGGTGCCAGCATCTAACTTCTCATCTAGCTATGTATGGAGAACTAGTGTTTGTCATCACAAGGCTCAAATCACACCTCATGTAGCCAGCCACCATTCTAAGAATTTTCAGGTAAGACAATGAGGTTTCAGGTCTTTTTCCTATTTTAAAAGAGTGTCATGCTGGAGTTCAGAAAGGCATGGGAATAATGGCCCATTGCACTATGAATCTGGTTGTGATCTGCAACAACTCTGCAGAGACAGTTATGCCAAAACACATAATGTTTTTGGTGTGGAACAATTACCTATTAAGGCTTCGTACTTGCCTGATTCACTTCTACTAATTATTCCATGTCAATTTCGGTTCCAGCCATTGTTGCTAAGGCAGGATGGAGTTGTTCAATCTGCGGAACTCTTTCACTGGGCAAAAGACTAGTGCCCAGTATTCAGGCAATAGCTTGAGGTTCAAACGCACAATCATGACATTGTAGTGTAAGAATGTACCCTACAGCAACTATACCCTGTCTCTGGACCTACTTCTGCCCATGGGTATGTCAGGTAATGAGGTGAGGCTGTATTTTTTTTTACTGCAGCTAATTTCAGTAACTCCACACCTAGTGCATACGGACAGCTATTAAAAGCCAACAGGTTTCCAGTAACTTGTAAAGTTATGGTAAATTACTCATTTACCTCATCTCTAGAACTTCTGAATGTTTCCACAATTCAACAAATGAATAACACATCTGATTTCACTCTTAAGTCATTATATTTCATTACTCAAGTTTTGACTGAAGGAAGTATCAGCATGTGCAAGAATCAACGAAACTTCAAAAATCATATCCTTGATGTCAGACTTTAAGATCACACACATTCACTTGGCTCTGCACTTGCATGTGATCACGTACATCTCTGCAAAATACTACTCTTTTGATATGGTTACACAATCTGTGTACAATATGCTACAGAATCAGGCCTGAGACAAGAAGATAATGACTGAGGCAAGTCAAACATTGGATTCTATAAAGCTGAAGGGAAGGGGTAGAAAGCAAGTGAACTTTCAATTGGGTTGCTGACTTCAACACTTTTCAAGTGTAATTCAAATGCTTTAGAATAACCCAAGAAATTATTCCAAAAATATCAGGATGCATTTAAGGGATAAACTTGTTTCTCTATTAGCTAGACTAAATCCAGAGTAGCCCCATAATAAAGTAGTCTACTATCCTGTATGAGTGAAAGGACATTGTAGAGAGGGTGGTGCTGGTCTCTTCTCACAGGTCATTAGCACAAGAACAAGCATTAGAACAAGAGGAATGGCTTCAAGCTGCAACAGGGTAGGTTTAGACTGGCCATTAGGAAACAATTCTTCCCAGAAAGAGTGGTCAGACACTGGAAGAGGCTGCCCAGGGAGGGGGTTGAGTCCCCATCCCTGAATGTGTTTAAGAGTCCTTCAGATGTGGTGTTGGGGGACATGGCATAGGGGAGAACTTTGTAGAGTGGGATTGGTGGTTGGACTCAATGATCCCAAGGGTCTTTCCCAACCTGAATGATTCTATGATTGATTCTATCTTTCTTTGAAATGATGGCAGCATAATAGAATGATTTGATTCTAAAGATTTTTCAGTTCCATCAGAAACGTATCAAGTGATACGTTCAGCTTATTGCATTTAATTTATTTTGCTCTCAGTCTACCTGTTTTGCTGGCTTTGAGGTGAATATTATCTCTGCCTTAATGTAAGGAATTCTGAATTTGGAGAAAAACAACTACACAGAGGACTGTAAACACTCATGGACTCACTCAAGGAGTCAATGAAATCCTGCAGAGCGTTAAGAGGACGACTGCATCAGGCTTTACCACAAATCCACCTGAAAATGTGTGTTTTCTGCTGAAAATACTCTATGTTAAATTAAGTACATTTCTGGAGCTGTCACAGACGCCCAATTGGCACGGTGCTGCACAAACACAAAAATAAGAACTGAAATCCTGACTCCATTGCAACTGACAACAAAATCTAATTTTTATCTATGGTCCGTAACTCAAAATGCCCACAGACCAAGAGACCTCTTTTCCGTGTACCTCAGTGTCTACTGTATTCCAGTGTGGTAATTTCTTCTGTGCTCTCATCAAGCATTTCACATTGCTGTAGTTTTGTAAAGTCCGGTAGGTTGAATTAATTGAGTCTTTCCTTAATTTATACTCATTTATTCTATGACCTCTAAGAATTTGGTCATCCTGGTAACACATGAACCTCTGATAGCTAGGATTCTGATCACTCTGGGAAGAAAAACAACCCCCCCCCCCCCCGCTAATTCTTGCTTTGAGTTTGTCAAATTACTTAATTTGTACATTTAGAACATTTAGACAGAATGAATTAAAGGAGAAAACAAAACAGGAAGGATATAAAAGAATGTCTGAGTTTTAAAATGTGGTTTTCCATTTTAAATTTTCTTTTTAAATGACAAAGATTGTCCATTCTTCTTTGTCATGTTCACAGCAGTTTTAAGCGACATACGGCAGAAGGGAAAAGCAACTGAAAAAATACAAGATCCAACCTCCACTAGTAATTAAATGCCAGCAAGTTTTAGCTTTACCTTTTTGAAGAAAATGACAATATCAATTTCTTTTCCAAATGCACTTAGAAGTGCATTTTTAGGTTTATTTAATGGAACCATAAAATCATGAAGACCATAGTTAAAAAAAAATATACATTTACAGTTTAAAAACAATAGAAAGAATAAACTTGCTTTCAGTACTATATAGTAATCCTTGTGAAAATTGTACCTGCAATGTGGAAGGGAAGACACCAAGAATGATGTATATGGTAGAAGTAATGTTTTGGTCCTTCTCAGAAAGAACAGAATGACATATCTTTGAATGGAATAAGTATGAAAACTAAAGGAATATGAAATAAATTATGGGTTGTAGTGAACCCAATAAATGCAGGCAAAATGAAGGCAAGTTTTCTATAAATCCAGAAGGATTCAGAACTGGACTTGTCAAAAATGTATTTTATCTTCCACAAAAATTGAAGAAAATGAAAAAGTTGCATTACGCTTCCTGGGCCTTTAAAAATTTCCTTTCAAAAGAAAAAGACCATTAACACTCTTTCCCAACCCATTCTATCTTCTCCTCATTCTTCCAAAGCACTAGAAACTCTCACCTCTTTTTCCCTTCCTTTCTTCATGAGTCAACCCTGCTGGCACTACAAAATTCAATTTTTCCTAAAATAATGACAAGGTCTGAGAGATTTCTGTCCAGTCCAACTGATAGATAAGTGCCAATATGTGCCGTGGGTTTTGGAATAAGTACTTCCTCTGACATCCTTGGTAATGAACAAAAGAACAACCAAAGATTCCTGAAGAGCAACAAAGGAAGAATATAACCCGGTGTAGTATGTGAAAGAGAACTTAAGTTCTGTAGATTACAGTCTGAAAAAACAGAGGCTATGCTAAGAGAACAAAAGAAACAGATAATAGAAAGAGACTGGTGTCTTTACATATTTGTTTTGTGTATAGATATGCTTTTGAGAAGTGAGGTTGCAGAAAATTTCCCTATTCTCATCGTTGGTGACATCATTAATTCTTGTCATTTTTTTTCAAACTGGGTTAAAAGCCCATTAATAAAGACACTGACAGAAGGACAATAAGGAAATACCTTGTAAGTTACTTTTGACTTCCTTAAAAACATTTGCCTCTAGAAAGGAAATTAACTTGCTTTCTCCCACTCTCCCCCTTGAGGCCCTTCTGAACATTCCAGGGACCGACAGAAAAAAGCAAGCTCATGTTGCAACAGCTTGAGAGATTTATGTGCAGATGAGGTGACTCAGACTTGCTGTCCAACAGAGAATACATGAGCACTCTGCTTGTTTGCAGGATAGTGTTTCATCTCTGGTCTTAAAAAACAAACAGACCCAAAAAAAGAAACACTATGTTCAGTACAGCTCAGCAGGACTCCAGTCAGCATCAGTCCTTCTGTGAACACCAACACATTTCACATTATTACTGTTTTTTTGGCCCACCCATGAGATAAAATAATTGAAGGAAATCAAAGGAAATTGAAGGAAAACAAAGGAAATCAACTTTTCCCAGTTTATATTGCAGTTAATGTTCAACTATTCAGGATACCTTAATAATGGTAAAACACCGGTGTGCTGGGAACATGAGACAGAGATGTCCAAGAGCCTGGTGTTCAGCAGAGCTCATTAAGTCTGACTGAGAGCTGGTACCACAGGATCCAAGGCTGGATCTGCACTACTGCTCCCTGCTATGGTAGGGTTTACTGGTTCAAAATCTAAATGCTGTGAATACTTCTAGCCCTAGGAAAAATGGGACAGTATCTGCATGGTATTGTAACTAAGGTAACAGCAAGGAGCTGGACTTGAGCTGGCTCTGAACAGAATGGTACTGACCTTCTGATCTTCTGGTGACATGGCTAATTTTTAGCCTGGACCGTGTAAGCAAGAAGAGAGTCAATGGAATCTCCCTTCCCAAGATGCACCTCTCTACTTGCTGCGTTCAGCTGGTAGAGCCTATGCTGGTTAACAGTGTTCTCAGTCCTTCTGCTGCATTCTGGCTTGTATCAAAAATAGTGTGACCAGCAGAAGTAGGGAGGTGATTGTGCCCCTGTACTCAGCACTGGGGAGGCCACACCTCGAGTGTTGTGTCCAGTTTTGGGCACCTCAATACAAGAGAGATCTGGAGGTGCTGGAGCGAGTGCAGAGGAGGCAACGAAACTAGTGAAGGGCCTAGGAGACAAATCATATGAAGAGCGGCTGAAGGAGCTGGGGCTGTTTAGTGTGAGGAAGAGGAGGCTGAGGGGAGACCTCATCACTCTCTACAACTACTTGAAAGGACACTGTAGAGAGGTTGGTGCTGGTCTCTTCTCACAGGTAATTAATGACAGAACAAGAGGGAACGGCTTCAAGCTCCAACAGGGGAGGTTTAGACTGAACATTAGGAAAGAATTTTTCACCCAAAGAGTGGTCGGGCATTGGAACAGGCTGCCCAGGGAGGGGGTGGAGTCCCCATCCCTGGCTGTGTTTAAGGGCCGTTTAGATGCAGTGCTGAGGGACATGGTGTAGGGGAGGACTTTGTAGAGTAGGGGAGATGGTTGGACTCGATGATCCCAAGGGTCTCTTCCAACCTAGACGATTCTATGATTCTATGATTATGATTTTCATTTACCTTGTTGTTGCGCTCAACCCCGGTGTAATCTGCTTCAGGTGGAATCCTTATATGTAGCTCAGCTTCATAGGCTCCTTCCCCATCATTCCTTGGATTTATTATGAGCATGACACAGTTTTCTTCTCCAATTATGAGCTGATCTTTATCTCTACATAGAAGATACTACTGGTCAAGAGGTAAAACATGCACAATTATGATTTACATATGAATAAAGCAAAAGGACATCTCAAAAGGATCTCATAGCACCTCTTCTGGAAAATATTCTGTGAACACAGAATGAAACACTTTCCATAAAAAAATGACACCATGGAAAAGTTTGCCAGCACCTGGGTAGGAAAGAGGTAAAGAGAAGACACTGCCATGGACAATCAAAGTGGACTACCACAGAACTTGGAAGTTCAATAAAATTTCAGAGCCTGACTACTTTCAGAAAGAAGTACCCAGCGGAGAAATTACTTGCCACAGGGCTCCCATCAGTATTGTTTCTGGAGGGCATAAAGGTGGTGGGATTCCAGTTTTCCCCTTGTGCCTGTTGTAGAATGAACAGGGACAGATCTCCTGAAACCCACAATGGTACTGGGCACCTTCCTGTCACATACTGATTTTGATGGCACATAGTCAAGTAAGTGTCAGAGGTTCCCCACTTGTCCTGCTTGGCATATTTCTCCCTCCCTAGGAGGAACTGTTGCCATGTTTTGAAGTTCTTTTATGCTGAGATTCCTTTACTGAGTTCAGGAGAATTGTGTCCCAAGCTCAAAGTCACTGGCACACTGAAATAAACAAATTAAAAAATCTCCTTTGAACAGCAGTTTGCATTATCTCCTGTCATTCAGAGAACCAGAATCACTCCTAACAAACACTTGCAAACAGTATTTTCTATGATAAGCATTAAACATTGGAATATATCTGACAATGATACATTTTTTAAGTGTCTATTTCTCCCTTTCTTGGGTTTCTAGATGAAATGGATGATAAAATCTGGAAATCAAGTAAGAATGAGTAGCTATAGCAAACAACAGCACTGTTTTCTACATATTTTGTTCTGTTAAAGCAGTTAGAGGTGTCTGGATTTTGTTATACAGAGCATCATTTATTTTATTTAACTTACGGCATAGCAGAAAGCTGCAAGTCAGGAATGCACAAGTTGTCCTCCCCACAGTCAACAAGAATGTAAGCCTGTATTGTTGTAAAATAAAAAAAAAAAACATTATAATACAGTTAGTCCATGCCTCAAAGTCCAAATCACTTCATCACTTCACTAACCTAAATGTCTTAAATATCACTAGCACTGCCCTGGTGAATTAATCTCTTTCTCCTTTCCCTAAGTTCCTTTCCACATGAGGACTGCTGGAGACTATTTACTGTCAACTACGTCTTTAGCAGAACAATATAATCTTTCAGACCCTTTTCCACACTAACTTGGCTTACAAATTCTACAACACAATCAAAACTATGAACACAACAAAGTTTTGGAAATGGTTTAAAGGCCTGCCTGGTTCTATATTTATATTCAATTTACATTTTGAATTAATTAAATCCTTGTTGTGTAATTTCTAGGCATGATATTCTGTTTTAAGGAAGATGACACACATAGGATTTGTAAATGCTTTCACATTTATATACAGAAAATGTGGCATGCAAATTTCATACCTGTTCTGTTACTGAGCTTTTCTGGTAATAGTTCAGTATTGGCTTCACAGTCAAGCTATCTTCAAAATTGGATTCATCCAAGCTATAATTCAAGTTTATATTGATGGGAGATAATTTATCTCTAAATTCTGTTTCATCCTGTGAGTGACAATCACATAATAAAAATCAATGGTTTAATATCATTGTTTCAGATCAGTCTGGCATGGCAACAGACTCAGGTTTTAGCCTTTACTGAAGGTAAAGATAGGTTCTTTGACAGCTGCTGTCCAAATTCTGGCTGTATATCATGTCATTAGGAAAGCAAAGTGACTCACCAGTAACTGGAATGCCCAGAACACATTGCCTCCACAGCCCCACATCTGGAAGAAGCTGGCTGAGCTGAGTAGACTCAGAAATTTTTCAAAGCATTAGCCTAAAATGAAGCTGTTTAAAAGAGACACACAGAACCAACTCCTGTGAGCTACTGCCCTCCTTCCTTTTGGAACGGAGGGAGGGCATGTGTGGATTTGTGGAGGTAATATTGTTGGTTTGTTCCATAACTCCATCACCTTTATCACTTAGATACTTCCTTACATACTGCTTGAGACTCCTTTGTTTCACCTCCCACCTGCATTTCTAGGACCAGCCTTGGAATCTGCTTCAATTGCATGAGGTAATTCCAGCTGCAAGTGAGTGCAGTGACCCTGTCTCCTACATAACTTCAGTTCCAGACTTTTATTTTTTCTAAAAACATTTTAAAATATTCAAAAATATTTTAAAAAATATATGGATTATAGGAATTTTAGGCCAATAGTGCTGGTGACACTCCTTTAAAATATATTTTGAAACTGAACTGGCATCGTATTTAACATGTTTAGTTGATTATCCCACTGTGAATACTACAAGGAGAGCAATCTTGTATTTTTGTATCAGGAAATGCCATATTTAATCAGAATTTTCAGGAGAACATGAAATGAATGTATTTGTGCACAGAAGAACTGTACACTCTTCTTCAGAGCAAGTCTTTATTTTATACTTACATTGACAAAAGATTAGCCATAGGATTTAGAAAAAGATTTACATAGGAAATTTTGCCCAGGTGGAAGAATGTTCTGGACACCCAGGTGAGGCCTTTCTTATCTCAGCTTTCTGTAATTTTGGGATCTAAGAACAATAAAAATTGTTCTTCCTCTTCCAGTGACTCCTTTTTTATTATTTCTTTAAATCCCTGGTACTATTCAAATGATGATGGAAGTCAAAAATATTTTAAACAACTTACTCTGAGATAAACAAGGAAGTTCTGGCAATGGGGCTGTTTCTGTCTTTCTATCCCAATGGAGAAGTAATGATGTGACTGATGGTAATCAAAGAAGAGAGTCCTCTTAACAGCTCCTTTCTGTTTCAATGAATCTAATTGCAATTCACCTTTCAGCACTAAAGGATATAAGTAAATAAAATATTCATTTATTTAACGTGGAAAGAAAAAATACATTATATATAGTTAATTCATTATATAATTACTCTAACAAAGTCTTCCAAGTAAAACTATCTATGCTTAAAGTGCCTGCTTGTTTAGCAGCACACTAGTTCTTGATCCAAAGTATAGAATATGTGTATAATTTACTTTTATATAGTAAATAATATATAAATAATATAGATTTATATAGATAGCTTTCTAATTTAATTTACAGATCATATATGTACATGACTTCTTCTCTTTCACGTTTTTACTTTTTTTTCAAAACAGATCATTCTCCAACACAGTATGTTCTTGGTTTTATTTGGAAAATAGCTTTAACTGAATCAAAAATCCTCCAAGCGAATAATACAAGCTTTGTGTCATATCTTTTTAATTGTATTTGCTTGCTTTAGGAGGATCTCACTCCTACTTATCCTTCATGGTGTAAGAAAAAAATACATCTGAAATTGAGTGGGCCGGAAGAAATTACAGGAATATAAAACATTTCTTACCTATCTCATCTGAAATACTCTGACCTTCAAAGTCTGCGCAGACTCTTACAGTGAAGCTATATATAAAAAAAAGATGTAATTACTAGCAGAAAGAGAGCCGACCTGGGACTCAGCAGTTCCCAAGTTATCCCTTTCAAGTTTTCCTTTCCTTTTCTTAAAAAGATGTTGACTGAGATCTGTATTTAGCTACCTAAGATATTCCCTGAGTCGTCAAGTCTCCCAGGCTCCACTAATAATCAAAGAAGCCAGGCTCTGAACATCTTCCTGGGAAAGATACCGAGAAGAGTCTCTGTTCCCACTAATTCTTGAGACAGCTTACAGAGACCACCCTTCTGATACTATTGGCAAAGTTGGGTTCCTCACGTTGAGCTTCAGCCAACCACCTTTGTATGAGGCTGCCTGCAGAAGTCCTTTCTGATTCATCGTGGTCAAATAAGAGAAATCTTTGAGCATGTTTTCTAGCACATCAAACCACATTGGATGATTTCCACTGGCATTACTGTAAGACTTTCATGATTTCAAGAGACTATAATTAATCCCAAACATTCCAACTGAATCGTTGACTCTTGATTCCACAAGACTAGCCAGAATGTATTGTATTTAATCTGCTAAATTCTGCAGAAGTTGGCAGGTACATGACCCAAATCAAAGCACAGAGAAACTAGTTATTCATGTTCAGCATTTAGTATGCTAATGCAATGAATTCTGCGCAGTGCAACACAAGTTATTTGCTTTTCATTTGCCTGTTCAAAGCTTATGGCAACCTTTTTTGAGCCAAGCAATACTTGCATCACAATTACAACTATATTATACAAACATCACCGTAGTCATAACTAGTTATTTCTCATAATAAACATTTATTTTCACTTCTCTGTAAGACAGGCAATAGATCTGCAGTTATACTCAACAACTAACAGGAGAAGCTTTTTATAGTTTTATTGGCTGATACCTTATGACAAAACTTACTATAGAAATTAATTCTAAAAACCTAAAAATTTTAACTGCTTACTGAAATGTTTCACTTTGTAAGGAACCTATACAAGTTATCAAAATATTTAATTAAATCACATTTTAAAAAAGCTTTCACAGATTACTCTGGATGGCTAGGGAAACAGCGATAGGGACGCCTGTTGATGCTCCCAGCAAGGTGTACTTCCCTGATGAGTGACAAAACAAGAAATCTGTCACTGGAAAGATGTTCTTGATGTTTGACTTCTGCTCTCGCACTCCACGAGGACTCTCCACCCCATTATTCCCAAAGAAGTCCCATGTAACGTAAAAAAATTGCTCAGGTGAAAGATGTGAGACTTCCTAAACCTTGCAAATGTCCCTGGTTACCAATCATTCTTACAGAGTGTTTTCATGGGTTCAGAAAATGTTTTGTCTTGTATGTGGAAGACTCAGGTAAACATGGATTGTAGGTCAGCACTGGAAGATATGACTCCAGCTTGGGTCAAATAAAAAGTTATTTATTTGAATTAGCCATTGCTCTTAATCTCCTCACTACTGTTATACTATATACTAACTTCTCCATGCAGTGGATTCAAAACCAGTAACATAACCTTTAAAATAACCCCTAATCACATTCTAATTGTGTGTTTGCTTCCTCTGACAAATGTAATGAAACTGTGCCACATCTGGGATTCATGTAACTCTCATGACCTTACTCAACACTTTCCTCTTGGGTAAAAAAATTGCCTTATGCCATTAAACTCCTCTTAACTGTAGCCTTAAAATGACATCACAAGTGTTGATTCATGTTCCATGCAGAAATTGCAAATTCAGTCATATTCCTAGTTCTTTACAATTATGAGTTAACAGATGAAGAACCGAATCTTTCCTAATACACAAGGACAAGAACAACAAAAATGAGAAAAGCTTGTGTAATTGCATAAATGCAATTTAGACATCCTGCTTCAGAAGCCAGCGTTGCACGTCACAGCATAAGAGTGTATTTTTCTCAAATGTAAACTCACGAACTGCCAGCATGCATTAAACTTAGCGATCTTGCTTTGGAAGTCTCACATAACTTTTGCACTGTCATGTTTAAAAAAGGTTGAGTTAAAAATCCAGCTTGGAATGCTTTATTTGTAAAACAGCCCAATTTCAGTTACTGTAATGAATAGAATAATTCATCGCATACATTTTGAGAACCAAAGTAACGTTCTTAAGTATTACTGTAAGAGCCAAGATTTAATCCTTCTACCTTAGGCAGAGCGTATCAAAAAGGGAATGGCAGTGCAAAAAAGCAAAAATTTAGAGTTTATTAGTCTCCCAGCATCTGGCCAGGCAAGAAGCAAGATTTCTGTCACGCATTTGTGAATTTATGGATATTTAATTCAGAAATAGTTCTAACGACGTCACAGATTTCAATGAAAAACCCAGACAAATTGATGCATTAGCTGTGAAAACAAGAAAAGCAGAGGAGAAGACAGACTACAAAAGGGGACAGGAGTCTAAAGGATCTATGAACTTTAAGATTTGACTCCTAGACGCAGTAAGAAATACAATCACTGAGCTTTGGAGCTTGCTCGTAGGAGCAATCAAGCAAACGAGACAACTAACAATCAAAGGAAGAAGACTTCAGCAGATAAGAAACAACTGGGAAACAGTCCACCATGCTAAAGCACATGAACTTTTATGTGCTATCAATCTTGCCTCTCTGAAGAGATCCCCACACTGAGTTTATTCTGCAGTGTCTGCCACCGCTATAACCTTATGGTTTGGATAGTATTTGACTGTAGCTACAAAAAGGAAAGCCTTAAAACTGAACACACTAGCTTTTCCTGGTAATCTTGGGGAAATAAAGCAGTTTGTTTGACATAATTTTATGTTATTCGGGTAGACAGAAACATTTTCAATATTATTAGAATAAGAAGCTTAAAAATATTTCCCCTTTCTTCAAAACTACTCATAGCATAGATGGGGTAGTCTCTTTAGAAGACTGGTTCTGTTTTACCTCAAACCAAGACAGAAGTAAAACCAAATTACCTAATAGTACTCAAAACGGTTAATCCTTGGCAAGACAAAAAAAGTCAGTTAACCCCAAATAATATTTTCTGAACTGCAGTTAGTACCACAAAGAATTTATTTTGGTCTGGCTATTCTAGTAAGTGAACAGAATAGGAAACTTACTTTAGGAATTGAAAAGCAAGGAATTACCAGGCATCATTTGTCATTGTTGACAATTTCTTTAGCACACAGGACTGCACATGGAGAGGAAGAGTGGGTGATACCTTAAGGAGAAAGGCACTTCAAGCTTTGATGCTATGGACTTCCATTCTGTGTGAGGCAGATACTCAACCTGCAAGGTCACAAACTTCTACAGAAGAACAGCAGAAGCTGTTATCATCTGCTGATGAATGACCTTTAAACAATTTGTTTCCTCTTTGAAGAACAGTATGTAAAAGCAAGTCAAAATATTTTTATTATGATGATGTAATACTTGGTTTGCTTTTAGATTTTGTTATGTTGAAGCTGAACCCAGCAACCCTCAATGACCAACATGGAGCTTCAACACTGAAAACTTTCCATGTCTAGGCTACATCGCATGGCCAGGCTGTGGCATCACCAGGGCTGCTAGATAACTCAAATGACTGCCTTTTGGATGTCTTTAGGGCTACTAAAACTAGTACCACCAAATTACTCAGCTGCAATCCTGGCACAGCAGAGGTCTGCAAAACAGCAATGGGCTTCCTGGGTAGCAACTATCACCGCTTGCCTACCTCTTTGCCTGCATCTTCTGACTCTTGGCCACATGACTTTACCTTCTGACTCTTGGAGTCTATGGCAAATGTCAAATAAATTCATCTCAACAAAGTACTAAGGCCCTTAAGACCCATGGGCATCAACCACATCCAGTTTCAAACCAACTTAATGGGAAAAGAAAATACCAGCAGTAGAAAGGAGCAAAATTAGAAAAACAGTCCAAAAAAAGTTATGCCGTTAGGAAGGGTTAAAACATTATTATTTTTGGATTTCATATTTTTCATAGGAATTTTGTGTTCAGCTTTTTTTGAAGTGTATGTAGAAGTGTTTCATTTGCTGAATACAGCAGACTCAAGATTATAAATATTTTATTACTGTTTTAATAATAACACATTTGGAGATAAAAGAATGACATTTTTTTTTCCAAATTATTTTTTGATAGTAGGAACTTGAGGATCAGAAATTTCAAGTTTGCCTCTCGTTTAGTGGGCTTCCCTGAAGAAGCCAACAAAGCACATCTCAGCTTAGACACCCAAACCTGAAAAGCACTTACAGTTAAAGAATATATTCTAAAAATAGACTTTTTACCATGATTGGATACTTCCATGCTACTTAATTTTTTATGTCAGGTAACTTAACCAACCTCTTGCTCCTCTGCCAAATGGAAGTAACAATATTAGCACACTCCAGTAAGTTAGTGAAGAGCGGAATAAATAAAATTTGCAGATATAATTTAAGCACAAAGTAGCAACAAAGTAGCTAGTAGATAATCAGATCTCAAATGGTAAGAAAAATACCAATGCAGAGATAAATTATACCTCTTGATAGCTGGAACCCAGTCTTGGACTTAATAAATAATATGATGTGGAAACAGCTTTTGAAAAATGTACATGTTTGACTTATTTACCCCTTTATAGAGAAATTAATCTGCATGTTTCACACCTTAGAAAAAAAAAGGCTTTTTATCTTTTTACTTTTTCTTTAATTGTTTCAAAGTTGTACAATTTGTTCAAAATTCGTTAGTTTTGGGAACTCAGAAATATCCACATTTTAAACACTGCAGAAAAAGAACAGCATGTTTCTAGAAGTTCAGGACAACTCTCTTAGGGCTGTGCAGAAAAATTTTTTGTGCATGTTTCCTCTGCGCTTCATCTTCCCAATTTATATAATGGCAAAAATAATATTTTCCTTATACTTAAAAATGTACAATAATCCACATTATTCATACACACACACTTCCTGAAATTTTTCTGGTAGGAGGTTTCCTTTCATTCTAATTTTGCAGTGTCAGTCGGTAGATATTTTATACAAGTTGCACAGCTGGCTAAGAGATACAGAAATCTATCCCATGGGACTGAGGAATTCTTTGCCTGTTGGAGTTTCCCTACTAATTGTTTTCATATGTACAATACGAGATTATATCAACTAAGGAGAAAAATTACGGCATGGAAAAGAGCAGCTGCTCTTCAGTAATACCAACTAAATCTTTAGGGTAGAGTATTTGAGAATAAAGCAGATAGAAATTAAATTATGCTCCTGTTAAAACTCTTGTAGATATGAACCAAACATCTTGTGACTTACTGTAAAATAAAAATGAGAAGTAATGAAAAAAATACATGTTAAAGGAGCATACTTTGTTTTTCCCTCCCTTTTAAAAGCAATGTATCAGCAGGAATACTTTTTAAACAGAGATATTTTTATTTATTTCTCTTGTGCACATAACCATCTTTTTTCTTTCAGCACACTGTCAATAAATGTTACGGTTTGAAAACCTTCTCCATTATGGCATAAAGCACTTTGAAAAAGTCTTAAAAACTGAAGTTCTGAAAAAAACATAACTTGGATCAACGAACTTGCTTCAGCCCAGTGTTGATACTATAAATTCTCTATTACATCAACTATTAAAACAAAAGGTGCTTGAATCTAAAAGTCAAGATGGATCTTGATCTGGATCCTACTGCAGAAAGGCCAAAGCTTTGCAAAGTTCTGGGACTGCATAATTCTACTGGGTGCATTCTACATTCCTCTGTAGGCGGGTGATTTTCTACACAAGGTGTAGAAATGAGGAACTTTAGGATAAATACGAGGAGTCCCACAAAATGTAAAAGAAGAGAGCAGAAGCGAAAATCTCTCAACAGCCCCATCCCAGGTTTTCACAAGCAGCAGATTTAGAAACGTCCTGAGTCACACATTGCACCAAATGCATTGAAAGCCCATGTATTTAGTGGCTTAAGTGTATCCTTTATGACTCTTAAATGAACTGCTTCTGGTCGTGTTTATTTTTTATGGTTGATATTTATCAATTTGTTCTAAAAACTCTTTCACTGACTCTTTTCATCATTTGCGATGATTTTTACAATCATAAAGAATGTCTCCAGTTTGGGCAATCCCTCTGACCACCTCTGGTTTAAAAGTCATGCAAAATCTCTGCAGTCACCTTATCTTCTGGATTTCTTCCTCCTTTACACCTTGATATTCTTTTCATTCAGCCCATGTCCTGGCAGGCTTTCTGCCTCTAATGTGATTAAATAGAATGATATGACTAGTTTTTGTGTCTTAGAAATCTGTTCCTCAGTGTCTCTCTGGCAGCACTGATGGCTATTTTATATTCAACTTGCACATGTTTCTGCTCTGCTTTGTTTTCAGTTTCCTCTTTTGTTAGGATTTCCACTTTTAAACAGTATCTTATGTATCTGTAATCGCCTCTTTTACGAACTGTTCCTGGTGTCCTTTCTAAGTGATTTTTTTTTTCTAGTGCAGTAAATATACCTTTATGTGGCATTGCATGCTGTTAGATAGCCTCCAACTGTCCTGCAAGATTTTGCATTTGTAACTGATCGTAAATTGTTTTAATTAGCTTCAAGGGTTTTTTTAATGTATTTTTCCTTTTCAAAGTTAAATGATACTGTGGTAGAGGGTTTCTTTTTTAAAGATACATGCGACATTGTCCCATATGACACACTGTGTTTTGTATGTCCTAGCTATTTCATGTTTCATTCATCCAAACGCTGCCTATGAATTTGCAGCTTGACCCTAGGAGACACCGAGCATCCTCCTACGCAGAAGGAGGCTCAACGTATCAAAGGACTCAACTTTTAGCTACTTCATGTAGAGAATCTGTGAAGTACTGGAAGACACCAGAAAGAACTCTGCAATATATAGGGGGGGGTTCATTATGCTCATAGTGTGTTTGAACAGTACTTTTTTCTGAACTTTGAACATGTTCAACAAAAAGCTGCAAGAAAAGTTCGGAAGAGAAAGAGGATGAGGGTGTCTTTTGCCTAATCAAGAACTTACCAGGCCACCAAAAGCTGAGAGCCAGGGAGCTGACAAGTTTTGTTGTCTGGATTCACAATCATGGGGTTCAGAATGAGCTGAGCATTCACAGTCACAACGGGTCTGGCTCTGAGGGACAGAAATAAGGTTCACTGCATATAGAAGGAGCACATTAGTACCTAAGTTGCAGCAGAGAAAACACTTAACTGACATGGCCACAAGGAAGCTGAAAATGTAGGGTTCTCTCACTTGGGAGAAACCACTTCTATAACGCTGCTCCTATTGAAAAGAACCTTTTTTTTTAAAATCGGAAACTGTGATACTTCCTACTATCACATCTTGAAAGTTCTTCACAAAAAATCACAGGTTAACAGCATAACTACAGTTAACCAATAGCTGTGTCCTGGGACTATCCTAGGACTAAGGCACATCAGCCACATTTCATCACACTGGGCTTTCACAAAGGGACAGAATCTGCCTTTTGGGATTTACAGCAGTAATTCGGCCATTATTTTATACCATCAGATTTATTTTATACCATCTCCATTAACAGTGACATATTCACACCTGCTATCGCTGTTTAAGATTCTTTAAAAAATAAACATAATGGGTAAAGTAGAATTTGATGTGGAATATCTTGAGCCAATAGTAAAGTAAACTCTGTCTGACAAATCTTGAGACAACTGACTTCGGAAACCAGGAATTATCATCACTAGATTCTGCTGAATATGTGAATATATAGTTGTGGTGATGAGAACTATCCCTTTGAATAACAATCTGTTATTAAGTCATGAGATAATCTATAACTGAGAGCAATTTAGAAGACAAATGAAAACAAGAAAGGGTCTAAATTCTGTTGGTTTTTTTTCTAACACAGCAGTACTGTTTTACAGTAACTTACATAATTCTGGCAAAACCAGCTAAGTACAAAATTACTTTCCTTATATTTTAACCCACAGCTGATCATTTATGATTCCTTCTCTATGTTACTTTAGCAAGACATTAAGAAATAGAATTAATTTCGTCATTTTGTGCAATAGGGAAAACCGTTTTTTCTAGCAAATTTCACTTAATAAAATTCTGTTTCTCCAATGTGACAAGTTGCTTACACTCCAGCCAGGAAACGGAAAGATTGAGGGCCTCCTGCTATTCACTTTCTTAAATTAAATAGAACACATTTTTTATTGCTATCTAAAATACACAGTGGATCTAATTTTCCAATGTTTCACATCCTGTGCAGTCTTTCATGCCACTGCGGAGTGATGAACTGCAAAGTATTTGCATGATTCTTTAATAGGGCAGTAGGAAAATCAGGTCTACTCACTGCACCTAGAGTGCTAGCTAAAATGAGCTAACATTCCTGCTTTACCAAATTCTTATGCTTTGACAAAGATTTAGTTGGGAAGCAGACCGTGCCTTCTCTCAGTCAGGTACTTGGGGGAATATAGACAAGAAGACAGACAGGAATCCAGAAATATGACTGCCTTGTTGCAGCAACGGATGGTGAATATTTAAATGCAAAGAGCTGTCGTCACAGCCGGACTAAGAGGGCAGCAGTAGATTTTTGTTTATGTATTTGGTAGTTTTAATTTATACCCCTAATCAAACAGTGCACTTAGTGAAAATCCACAAGTCAACAACAATGTTGTGATTTGTAAAACGGGATCTCATAAATTTTTTCTAAACTGAGGCTAAACGCAGCATTTTTTTTTCTTCAATTAAAACGTCACATCTTAATATACACAACCTCTGAGCATTTCTCACTAGCATCATTCCCCCTGGAAAGGAATTAATTTTCAATGTTACAATTTTAAAATACCTTATTAAAAATTAACTGAGTCAAACATTCCAGAAGTAATTTCAAGAAATTGAAATAAAACCAAGCATGGAAATTTTCATTGAAAATGCAAGTTTCAAGCATAGGTAAAAAGCATTTGTTTCTCACAAGGTGCTTAATTTATCATATGTAATGAGCATCTTTTACACATTGCACCAGGGAAACAGGAATGTGAAATTTGTTTATTTGCAGATCTCCCATCAAAGCTGTAAAATAAAAAATCCACTGTATTTACCACGTACCTGTAAACAACTGCTTTTCCAGCTCCAAATGCACCTACAATTAAATCTGGAAAAATAAAAGAGCTTCAGGAGAGCTATACAGAAGTCTTTCACACTTTTTTTTCCCCCAGCATAAATTAGACTATTTATAGTAAAAATGCAGTAACATTAAGCCAAGTGTGCTAAGTGAGTAAGTGCTCCACATGGGCAACATGTCCTACCATGAATTCCACTAAATAATGTCCTAATAGGAGTAGGAATGGACAGTTTATGGGCCTGATCCTCTTTTTGTACAATATTTACATTTTTCTACTTCAAGTGGCCTTGGAAAAATGTGCTTCAGGGTCAGGAACACTTTAAATAGCAGAAGAAAATGAGTGTTGTTTCTGTCTCCTTTTTGGGACATTTATGAGTCCTTTTCATTAGCAGCTTTTATAGACAACTTGCACACAGCACCAAAACCAAAAGATATTTTCCTCTTAAATAAACAAATGATGAGCCATAGCTCATCATCGTCATCATCACAAGGGCTACACAACGCACATGCAGATCTTTCCCTGAGAGCTCCCTGACAGCAGCACCATGGTAATCCCAAAAGATTTAATATTCTGCTGGTTTTGGGGGGTTTGTGTCTGTTTGTTTTGGTGCAAGAAACATTGTTATCAACAGAAAGAGAAAGACAAGGAATCATAGAATCATAGAATCCTCTGGGTTGGAAGGGACCTTTAAGATCCAACCATCAACCTAACTCTGATAAAAAAAAAAACCCAAACCATCACTAAACCATGTCACTAAGCACTATGTCAACCCGGCTTTTAAATACACCCAGGGATGGTCCCTCAGCCACTTCCCTGGGCAGCCCATTCCAAGGCTTAAGAACCCTTGCAGTGGAAACATTTTTTCCCAATATTTATCCTAAACCTTCCCTGTTCAACTTGAGGCCATTTCCTCTTGTCCCATGGCCTGTTCCTTGCGAGAAGAGACCGACCCCCCCTGGCTACACCCTCCTTTCAGGGAGTTGGAGAGAGCGAGAAGGTCTCCCCTCAGTCTCCTTTTCTCCAGGCTGAACACCCCCAGCTCTCCTCATGAGACTTGTTCTCCAGACCCCTCACCAGCTCCGTTGCCCTTCTCTGGACCCACTCCAGCCCCTCAATGTCTGTTTTGTGGTGAGGGGCCCAAAACTGCACACAGACCTCAAGGTGGGGCCTCACCAGTGCCCAGGACAGGGGGACCATCACCTCCCGAGTCCTACTCCCCACGCTGTTCCTGACACAGGCCAGGATGCTGTTGGCCTTCTTGGCCACCTGGGCACACTGCTGGCTCAAGTTCAGCCGACAGTCCACCAACACCCCCAGTGAGGTGGGGTGTTGGTCGGCTGGTCCCCCAAGAGGACTTAGGTCCCCTCTGTCTCAGCATCCCCACTTTAATATTAAAGGGGATCTTGTACATCCGCTTAATAGTTAAATCCTGGTTTCTTTGGGACAGAGTCCAGCTTATTTGAAGACAGAGGGTAATGGGTCTCGAGGAGCAATGATAGGCCCCATCCACCAAAAGGATGGTTTTCCATGAGCAGTCTTTCTGAGTTGCCACCTTAGCCACGTTTGGAGACACAGCAAAAAAGATGAGGACATTCAATCACGGCGCCACCACAAAGGCCTTATTTGAGCATACTCTAAGGGCAGCCAGGACTATGCTCCTTCTGCTCTTGTTTGGAAGCTCTCACTTTTTCCCTGACAAGTCCTTTATTCTCTGGTCTAAGCCATGCTTATTCTTGATCCAAAAGGCCTGAAAGAGTGAAACTACTCACTAGAAAAAGTAGATTTAGGAATGAATATGCAAACAATAAAACATACCCAGTAGTGACATTTATGATCTAATGTAAGGAAGGACCAAGTCATTATATATTCAAGCAGAGTATTCACTGGAAGATCTATTGGGGATTTTACTTTGCTTCTACTTGTTCTGTTACAGAGCAGGAGTTTTATTCTTCTTTTTCATTGCCTTGTGGGATGCAACTCCCACACCCATCATTGGAAAAAAACATTTTTGACAGTAATATGAATTAATAAGATTTGAATTCACATCAGTCAGAGCATTTTTATAAGCAGAAGTTTTGAATTTGTTATGTGTTCTATGGAAGAAAAGTTATTAATCATTTCTATGAAAAAGTGCATGAGATGTCTAAATTATCTGGAGGTTGGCAACCTTCCCCTTCTAAAAATAGAAAGAAGTTGTCTTTAATCATTGCTTGTTAATGCTTCACACGCAATGTCACTGATGCAAAGGTCACGGGCTAAAAAATAAAGATTTAAGAAGCATGTGGCATTACGTAGCAAAAAAAGCCAGCTTAACTACTTATAACCCTTCCAAACAGAGCTCCGCTCCTTTTCTCATATTCAATGTTCTCAGGAGGATGGGGGACTTCATAGGTTTAAGTAAAAAACCACTCTGCCTATGTCATCTCTTTGAGAAGATCCTTTATCAGCTGCTACCCTTCAGAGAAGCAGAGATGTGTAAGGAAGGGCTGGTGGCAGCAGCCATGTCCCCCCCATCATTAATGTTGTGGAATAAATGAGCTGTGGGGTCACAGCCACACTGCAAAAACTAAGAAAACAAGCACGGAGTGACTCAGAAAGAATTTTCAACTTGAATTTTAACAGAGCTTGAAGGTTTTATGCTATAATCCCGATTGGTGGAGTTCACAGAGTTTAATCCTGAAACAAGTGTCTTTGGCATGTGCTTAACTGAAGTCAAGGGGCATCATGCAAAGCTAAACAATCCTAATGTTTATTTCTAATTTTACTTTGCTCTGAAGGGGAGGCTTGTAAGATGCTGTCTGGTGAACAAAATGCATTTTCTGAGATAAAATGATCGTAAAAAGTTAAGGAAAGAGTATTCCCGGATGGCACTGAAAGGCACACCAGATTTTGTAAACTGCTGTGTTTACCTGCACCTTCTGCCACGTGGCTGTGCCAGACCTGAAATCCCACGGGATAAAGGGCAGAAACTTGCCATGATGCTGACTGAGCCTGGAGGAAGCAGGAAGATCAGTGAAGTCCTACCTCTAGTCTTAACAAGATACATTAATTTATTAACTTGAGCAAATTCTTTGATCCCCTGGTAGTTTTAAAGGACATCTCCATCTCCCGTGAGAGATGCAGGTCCAGGGAGTCTGAGCTAGGAGGAACACGCACCGTGCTCAGCACCCCACACTTGGTTGGAGTCTGTCCAGCAACCCCAAGAGAAGCTGCCAAGGCATGGTATCTCATCCCTCTTCACGAGGGACAGTGGCCAAGGACAACAGCCAATGAAGGACTGCATAATTGGCACACGCTGCACTTGTGAGAAACCCAAAAATGAAACAATAGGGAGCTGAGTCACCCCCCCCCACTGCAGCTCTACCAGGATACAGGCAGGAAAGCTGTGACTTTATGGACTCAGAATGATTCGCTGACAGCTTTAAACACCACTTTGTACAGTCTGTCAGTTAATTGCGCAGTATAAATAGGAACTGGAAAACAATTAGAATCCTATCTGGGTACAGGTGCTAATGGAAATTTCATAAAAGACAGTGAGAAAACTGCCTAACTGGAAACTCTGCTAAAAAATCTTTGTGAGCCTTTTTGTTCTTTATTTCCCTCAGTGGATCAGGTGCCAAAAAAGCCCATGATCAGAATTTTATTTGTTTTCTAGGACTTCAGAGAGCACAACACTCCCAAATCTCTGTAGGAAAGGTCCGGAATAAAATTTCCTTTAAATGGCCCTTACTTCAGGCTTGGCCATAACAAAGGACACAGGATTTTCCAGTTCAGCCAACTTTACTCAAGAATTTCAGTTAAATACTACAAAGAACCACCACCCAAAATCGAGTCACTTTCTTCCAGTCCTACCATTCTCAACTGCTTTGATCCTTCTCTGTTTTTCAACCACTGTGGTAGCAGGTCTGTTAAGGATAACACCTAAGGCTCATTCATCTCAATGCTCCCCTTTTGTCTGAATAATATCCCTTTCATAATAAGATGTTATTATTCACTTCATTATACTACAAACAAATCCAAAAGAGGGCAATTAATGTTCTGTCACTTCAGTAAATCCCTCCTTACTGGGATTAATTGCTTTATTCTTTTTGGGCACAATACTGTCATTTCACTGAACATCTCAAAGAATTTTAGAAAAGCATACCTGTAAATTACACAGAGAATAATTTGCAATAAATTAACATATTTGTAGGAGATTCTTAGCTTATTACGACATTTTTGATCGATTATTCATGTGAAAACATAATGAGCTGGTAGAAACACATCAGCTTTTCTGCATTTCCTGGCAGAACCCATGCCCTTGTTCTGGCTCCCACGCTCAGCAGCCCGCTCTCACCAGAGCAGATGCAACTTCTCATTGATTTAATTTGTTTGTCTTCCACAAATCTCCTGGACCAAATTCATAATTTAATCATCACTAGATTACAATTTGTGATATTGTTGGCACAATGCCTACTGTTCTCAAAAAAGTTATGAATGCTGAAGAGCCCTTGCCTCTCAGAAACTTGAGGGTTTTCTTCCTGCTGTTTGAGTTAATGTACTTAGCAGATGAAGCTGTTAAATACTCCTATTTTAATAAGATTAGACTGGATTACTGAAGTTCTGAGGGAATTTTGCCTGATTGTTTCCTTCTTATAATGTTTCTAGAGTCATTTGTTTATATTAACTATATGCTATTCTTGAGATAATAACTAAGTCCAAAATAAGAAGGCGTGAAGATGCCTTTATACATTTCCCTGTGCTGAGAAAGGCTTGACTAAAAAGAATAACCAAAAGGAAATGCCAACAGCTGTGTCTGTATAAAAGCGGGATACCATGAAGACGAAGCTTCAGTGGCACTGACTCCAGGGTGAGTTACACAAGTGTCTAAACAGGCAGGGAGCAGAAACAATAGTGCATAATTTATTTGAGCAATTAACTAATTAAGTAATCAACAGTCTTTGAATAGAGAATTCATCTAGAGCACTGCTCTGAATCCACCCACGCTGCCGAAAGAAACTGGTTAAATCATCCTGGTTGACAAATACGT